AAAACTAAATGTGGTTAAACTATCATTTGGCCTCCTGATTTTGATGAAATTAGGCTGTTATGTAACAAAGGTGGGAAAAGTTTAGGTAGACATAAACTTTCTCTGTATCTATTTAAAAAAATAATCAAAGACTTTATAACTTTATGAATTAAGCATATATAAAAATTTAGCTGTCAGTCTCTTATGGACATGCATTTTGGGCACTCTAGATTAGCTTATCAGCTTGTTGAAAAACATGTCCAGGTGACATATGGTAAAGCAAATAAATAATATAAGTATTTTTGGCCTTCAAGAGTGGCAAATAGAAACAATTTGTCCCCTACCCTTGCTTAGCTGCTGCCTCACATATGTACCAATAGATTTTAAACAATTTCATTTCTATCCCTTTTTACTATTCTCTACTATTGAATGAGCTGTGACTTTTATAGTTTAGTCTACTGACTAATGGTTAATTTTCATTATCAACTTGACTGGATTTAGAATTGCCAGAAATATATCTCTGTATGTGTCTATGAGGGCATTTCCAGAAGGGTTTAACTGAATAAGTAGGAGTCAACCAAACGTGTGGCACAATTCCATAGACTGGGGCCCTGGACTGGATAAAAGGAACATGCAACCATTTCATGGTTATGTTTCCTAACTGCAGACTCATGTGACCAGCCATCTCAAATCCTGTGGCCATGCCTTCCCTGCCATGATGGACTAAATTCTCAAACTGTGAATGAAAACAAACCCTTCCTTTTTTCAAGTTGTTTTTGCCAGATACTTTGTGGTAGCAAAGGAGCGAATACAGTAAAGAATACTGAGAAGGACAGTAGAACTGTGTGGGCAGGGAGGGGTATGCCTTCGGGGAGAGTGCACGGACAAAACCCTGAGTTCTAACTCAGCTCAGCGAAACAAACAGAAATGTAGGCCTCCATGTTAACTGCTGCCCACGATGGAAGTTCTAGTTGAGTTGTCCCTCTAGGGGACACATAGATAAGGATGTTTTGATTATTTGATGAAAAGTTACACTGTTTGCAAGCCTTTTTTTTTTTTTTTTTTAATGTAGGTCTTGGGAAAAATACCAAATAAATAAATTTGGGCAGTAAAGGAACTATATAGTGAACCTGAATTACTCATGGACAGTCAGGAATACCTCCTATAACATAAGCCAAAAATATATGTTCTTTTCCTGATGTATGTCACAGATTAAAATTCAGGCAATCAAATTTTTCTTTTTGTCATGAAGTCTGAGAGCACAGTGCAAAGACTCAGTGAAAGTTTGAGGCTAGTAGAAGTGGATGCTCTCAGTAAGAATCCAAGTGACTGAGCAGCTTATTCCCAGAAACTCTTGAAACTGCTATAAAAGGCTTCATCCTGCAAATCCAAAGGATGCTTCTTTGGGGTTTCTAGTTGCAGCATGATTTCATAGGAAGGACAAACCTGGAGTTGTGTCTCTGCGTCTTAACTCTTTCCTTTGAGTTAGTACTGGATCAAGATAATAAATCATTCTTTTTGTCTCTGCTAAGAAATTTAACTCATATCTTTCTTACCCATGTTCTCTCCATGCTCTTGATGTTTTTCCTTTCCTTTCACTACTGCCTCTTCCCCAAACACCTAGAAAGTAGTTTTTCAGCTGCAGAATGATTTGGCGGTTGCTGTGTCAGCAACAGAGTGCCACTCAGCTGCCAAGATAACTACTATGCTTATCCAGCCTTCTTCAAATGTCTGGTCAAAAGACACTTAATACTGCACAAAGAGCACTAATGATATAAGCCATTAACATTTCACCCCAGAAAGTCTTCCCAGAATGTATCCTCTACAAACATTAAAAATCTAGAAAGTATGGTGCTGTTTGGTTTTATGTCAACTTGACACAGCTAGAGTATGTCTGTGAAGAGGAAGCTCTACAGAGAAATGTCTCCACTAGATTATCTGGAGGGAAGTGTACAGTGCATTTTCTTGAATAATGACTGATGCCAGCAGGTGTAGCCCACGGCAGGTGGTTCAGGCCTGGGGCTGGTGGTCCTGAGCTGTATAAGAAAGCAGGCTCGAGTAAGCCCCAGGAGCAGGCCGGCAGAGAGCATTCCTCCTGGCTTCTGGTTCAGTTCCGGCCTCCAGGTTGCTGCCTGGAGTTCCTACTCTGACTTCCCTCAGTGATGGAGTGTGGCTTTAACTATAAGATAAAATAAACCCTTAACTTCCCAAGCTGCTTTTGGTTATGATAATTCATCACAGCAATATAAACTCTAATTAAAGCATTTAATTTAATTTAATTATCTGGGGGTTCCATAACAGAAACACCTACTTATGTAGGTTTAGATATACTCAAATGAACTCACACAGTAAACTCAATGAAAACTCAATGAAAACTTCATTTAAAATGTGTTTGTTTCATTTTTTATTTTTAAGAGTAAGTGATGGTGATGCATGCCTTTAATTCCAGCATTTGGGGGGGCAGAGGCAGGTGTGTATCTGTGAGTTTGAGGCCAGCCTGGTCTACAGAGTGAGTTTCAAGACAGCCAGAGCTGTTACACAGAGAAACTCTGTCTTGAAAATTGAAAAGGAAAAAAAAAAAAAAAAAAAAAAAAAAAAAGAGTAAGTGATGAGCAAATTCTTCCTGTATTGAAACAGACTGGATGAGACAAAACATGTGGAAATGATAAAATTTCCAGTTGTTATAATTTTACCAGGAAAAAAAAACCACGCAAGCAAATGCTATGGATTCTACTTATCAATGGTGATAAATTTTTGTGCTAAGTAGAACAACACTACAACACAATTATCCACAATAGCTGAGCTATACACACTTTCACAGATATCATAATTAGAATAAATAAATAAAAGAAGTGCACTCTAGCAAGGATGAATACATGATGTTCACATTTTAAACTAATACGAGTCACATATGAGCTAAATGCAATGCACTTTGAGCACACAACCTAAATAGTGTTCAGTAGGTATGTACTTTATATCCTGACTTCAAAGAAATGTTTGAAGTTGGAACACTTTTAGGGATAAAACAAAAGAAAAATAAAATTAAGATGAGATAGATGCTGCCCATACACTAAACCATCAAGAGTTAATTTATCTATTTTTCAGCATTTGCCTCCTAAATTGTGATATTATTGTAGGCACAACAGGTTATTTTTTAAAGCATTTCTTAAAAATGAACATAAGCATTATTAGATTTCCTTATGGCATCTTCAAACCCAATCTGTTGGTTCTCGCTTCCTCCTACACCTTTCTAACACACACCTACTATCATGTCTCATGTGTCCTATCGCCCTACCCCATCCCCTTCCTCAACAGCTCTTTTGTTCCCTCTTGAGATCTCCTTTCGCTATAAAGCCTATCCCTACATTCACAGTCTCCTCCCATATAATGTATATGTATAAACAGGATAAACTAGGATCCTGTATGAGGGAGAACATGCATTTTTTTAATCTTGCTGAGTCTTAGTCACATTGCTTCATATGATACTTTTCAAGTAATATCTACTTTCCTTAGACATAGAAATTAAATAACACAGAAAAATTTATTTTGACCTTAAATTATATTGCATAATATATATATGGTGTGTGTGTGTGTGTGTGTGTGTGTGTGTGTGTGTGTGTGTGTGTATATAAACAACCTTAAGAAAGTAATGATGAAATCTTAAAGATAAATGCTTACTAGTACAGAAAAATCATCCGTGGAACTTAAAACACTTTGCACTACCTGCTTATGATAGCATATACAGTGTATCCAACAGACCTGAACTCTAAACAGCCATGAGAAAAGGAAAGGAAAAATGTGCAATTTGTTTAGACTGGATTGATGGGTTTGAAACACTTCTTCAGGCTATGACCACAAAAAAAGAGGAAATGAAGAGGGAAGGGAAGATGATACAACAATTAGGTAACCTATTTCTTTGATCTTAATCATAACTCTGTCTCAGAAAATATTAACTGGAAAAGCGTTAAAAAGGGAAGTCACTATGATTTAAATTCATGGAACTGAGAAGGAATACCTATAAACAGCAGAAGGGACAATAAGGACCATATTACACAGACTATATAATATAATCTAAAAGGCAAAATTTTCAATTTGTAAAGGATAAAAGACAAGCAAAAATAATTAAGAAGTAGGTTAGTATATATACATACTAACATACACACATGTAGGAAAAGTTATATAATATAAAGTTTCATATAGATATTTCCAACTAACTGTAAGGCTCAACAAATCTTTAAGATATACTGAAAAAGATAAAAGACTATAAAAAATGAAGAGACAAAAAAAAAGAAAAAGGAAACTACTGAATAAATATATGAAAACATGTCCATCTACAAAAAATCAAGGTGTAGATTAAAACATAAGGATAACCTTTCATTCAGTGGTAATAAATTACAATAAATGAGTAAGCCTTGCCTCTCCTACATCAAGATTGACTACTTCAATCAGTACAGTTGTTTGAGAAATCAATTATCACCATAAGAAAAGAAGCAACTGTGTTCTCTGAGGAAATATTTCTAAAGAAATAAACTACAATAAAGAAACTTGATTATTTAATTATATGAAAAAAAAAAACCTATGTTATAGCTACATAGTGAAATAAACCTGTACAGGGACAAACTGTAATTAATTAAATATGTAAAGGTAGTTTTAAAGCTTACTGATTAGTATTTACTAAGTTTTAAATATTGATCATGTCATACAATTTTCTAAAGTTAATCTAACAAAATTGATTGGAAGTTATGAAGGGCAAGAAATACTAAAAACTTTTGAAAATATAGTTGAATATAAAATATTAATCATGATACTGTTAAATAAATGGGATGACCATAGATATGTAAAGTAAATGTTTTACTGGGAATACCAGAGGAAATGCATATAAATATTAATAATGTTGTGTTAAGGTAGCACAATAATGTACTCCTTCTTTCCTCTTAATTATTATAGAATTAAACTAAATATAATTAAGTATATAACTTCTATCACAGTACAGTATGAATTTGAAAAAGCAACTCACTTACCTCTTGCTCATCCATATTCAACCACTGTTTTGGGTCTTCTTCAGTAGCCAGAAAAGCTATCAACTCTAAAGCAGTAAGTCGAGTTTGACGTCTTGATGAGACAAATATCAAAACAGGTTTGGCTGGAGAATGACTTCTAATTGCTGCGGAAAGTTGTGGAAATGAAATATTAAGCCACTTAATGGATGGACATGAAAACCAATGTAGTTCACGGAAATTCTTCATTTGGCTATGGAATTTAGTATTATTTCAGGTAGTAGAGGGGTCTGACAAGACACTGGGAAGGGAACAGGAAACGGGAAGATGCTGGCCACAGTTCTACAGAACACTGCCTAGCATGGGAAACTTTATTTATCATTCCTAAAGTCATGCCAAGGAAAGAGGCACTACAATGCCAAGATTCTCCACTAAGCTATACATGGACACTGAGTCTTTTTTTTTTCCTTTATTAAGAAATTTTCTACTCACTTCTCATGCTATCCACAGAATGCCCCTCCTCCTTCCTCCCACCCCCCAGCCCTCTTTCCCAAGCCACTCCGCATCCCCACATCTCCCAAATCGAGGTCTCCCATGGGGAGTCAGCATAGCCCAGCACACTGAGCCTAGGCAGGTCCAAGCCCCTTCCCACTGCACCAAGGCTGTGCAAGGTGTCACACCACAGGCACCGGATTCCCAGAAGCCTGCCCATGCACCAGGGACAGATCCTGATCCCCCTGCCTGGGTGCCCTCCCAAACAGGTCAAGCCAAACAACTGTCTTCCATGTCCAGAGGGCCTAGTCCAGTCCCATGGGGGCTCCACAGCCACCAGTCCACAGTTCATGGGTTTCCACTAGTGGGACAGAGTCTTAACACTGAGTTCAGTTTGTTTCCCAGACACTGCTGCTTGTCTAAGTGATATTAGAGGTAAGCAGTCCTGAGATCTACGGAATCTAAGCAAGCACTTCAGAGTTATGAAAATGCCCAAGAAACAATAATAACACCACCACCACCACCACACACACACTCCTATTTTTCTGTTATCAGTAGATAAAAAATGTAGATAAATAAAATGTGCAACAATAAATAACTGATAAATGAGAAGAAAGTTTTTTTCTGACTTTGAAATACATGTGTGAGGCTTCAAGAGAGGAGAGCACAGCAGACTACTGTTGAGATTAAGTGCCTCATGTGTACCTGAGAATGGTACAGCCTCTTGGCACACAGAAGAAACCGGCACTTTGAAGCCTGGGTAAGAACAATAAGAAGGAATAATTAATTTTTAAAGAAATACTTAATGTGGTACATACACCATTTGGATTATCTGGAAATGAGGTTTGTTTATAAGTGAGACAGTTGATTAGCTTGAACTGTTTGGAAGGCATCCAGGCAGTGGGACCAGGACCTGTCCTCAGTGCAAGAGCTGGCTGTTTGGAACCTGGGGTTTATGCAGGGACACTTAGCTCAGTCTGGGAGGAGGGGACTGGACCTGCCTGAACTGAATCTACCAGGTTGAACTCAATCCCCAGGGGAGTCTTTGCCCTGGAGGAGATGGGAATTGAGGGTGGGCTGGGGCGAAGGAGGGGAGGGGGAGGACAAGGGAATCCGTGGCTGATATGTAAAATTAAATTAAATTATAAAATAAAATTAAAAAAAAAAGACAGTGGCAAAATGGCACAAGATTTTTTTACTTAAGTAGCTCTTTCAAAACAGAGAGGGAGTTGAAGGTGGAGGAGAAAAAATCACTAAAACTCACTTTATTTAAAAATGTTACAATGAGGTCTAACATCTTATATGCTAAAGAATTAAAACCAAAATATTTAAACATTTTATAAGAAAAAGTTCCTCTTGTTTTGATTTCTTTTTTAAACCGTGAGCTGCAAAACCTCTTTTTATAGGCCAAGAAATCAGTTTTGACTATATACCAACAACACAAGTTAGGCTAGCACAAATCCTATTTCCAAACTCGAAGAAGTCTAGGAATCACTATAGGTCTGACATAATTCATAAGGATAGGATTGAACTGATTCCATATCTAACAGCAAGTACTTCAGGTCTTTGCTGTTGACTTACAATTTACACAATGCAAATGCTTCCTTTTCTGTAATGGCATGCAGCCATTCTCTACACAGATATAAGGAATTTCTGTAATAGATCCATGAAAAATAAACCCATTTATCCTTATTTATTTTCATCATTCAGAATTTATTAGAATCCTAAAAATATAAATGATAAATCTGTTACAAATCACCTTAGAAATACAATGTTTAAAACACATACTCCTGAAATACTGGTATCATTTATATAGACAATCATGAATGATCTGTTTCTTTTCTAAACCTCAACCTTTAATGTGTTTTACTGCTGCAAGAACAGGTGTGGCTGAGCAGCTCATGGCAGATTTATTGTTCATTAGTGATTTTGTACAATGCTTCTGTGGAGGTGTAAATAATCTGAACTGCCAAGATGGGTCTCCAGCCCACAATCAATACTGTGCTTCTGTCATAGGCTAATTACAGCAGCTAAAAAGTCGTCACCTAACAATCAACAGCAGTGCACAGGAGAGAATTTATTTTGGAGGTTACTTTTAATTGATACAATAAATATTCCTTCTGTAGTCTAAATAAAACATGTTTCAATAAAACTGGGGTATATACCGATGCTTCTCCTATTTGCTTAATTTGTTAAAAAGGGAAAAATGAAAAACAAAACATGAAACCAACAGAATTTTTAAAAGTAATGAATTGTCCAGATTGTTTTAAATTAAGATTTATTTATTTTTATTATATGTTTATGAGTATTTGTCTACATGTTTGTTTGAATGTGTGCACATCATGTGCATGCCAGGTACTTGCAGAGGCAAGAGGCATTGGATGGTGTGGTGATATTTTATTTGTGCTCTAATAAATAAAGCTTGCCTAGAGATCAGAGGAAAAAGCCAGCCTCTATATAGAAGTCAGGCAATGGTAGCACATACCTTTAATGCTATCATTTGGCTGGTAAGGATCTGTCTGGATCTCTGTGAGTTCAAGGCCACACTGGGAACAGACCCAGGTGTGGTGGCACATGCCTTAAATTCTAACACTAGTTAACCATGGAGGTCTGTACAGACAGACAGGAAGTGACAGAGATGGGCAAGAAGAGGAAGTGATGTAACTGGACAGAGAGAGCAAATCAGATGGCAGAACAGCAAGGCATATAGGCATGGGTAGACAGGAAGTAGCTCATTTTTGGAAGCTGCAGAATTGGTGAGGTGAGGTTAGATGTGACTTTCCCTATTTCCCTGATCTCTCAGGTTTTCACCCCTATATCTGGCTCTGTGTTTTTTATTTAATAAGACTGTTTAGAAATTTGTCTACAGGATGGCCTGGAACTAGAGTTGTAATCTGCTATGAGGTGCTGGGAATTGAGGCCTGGTCTTCAGAAAAGGCATAGGCAATCTTAACTATGGAACTGACACTCTAGCTAATGAATTATCCACACACTCTATATTTTCTGTTAAATGTGAAGATGACAATTTTTGAAAATTATTGCTCTTTATCATTTGTTTAAGCTATTACTTAACATACAACACCTTGGGTGTGCAATACTAAGAATCATCTACTTCCTAAAATATTATCTTATTCTGTTGTAAAGTCATTTTGAGAAGAGAGGGACGAGGGACTATGGGAGCAAGGTAGGGGGGTCAAGCTCATGATGGGAAAAACCAGAGATAGCTGACCTGAGCTAGTGGGAGCTCATGGACTCAGGACTGACAGCTGGGGAGCCTGCATGGCACCAAACTAGGCCCTCTGAATGTGTGTCACAGATGTGTGGCTTGATCTGTTTGTGGGGCCCCATGATCTGGCTTTTTAGAGCTCATTCCCTATGGTGGGATGCCTTATTCAACCTTGATGCAGTGGGGAGGGGCTCAGTCCTGCACCAACTTGGTATGTAAGCCTGTGCTGACTACACAAGAGAGGTTTTACCCTTTATAAGGAGTGAATGGGGGATGGGATGGGAGCAGATGTAGGAAGGGAATGCAAGAAGGGGAGGGAGGGGGAACAGTGGTTGGTATGTAAAATGAAAAAAAAAATTTAAATAAATAAAAAGAAATACCTCTCATTTTCCATACACAATTCAATAATTATTTATGTTTCTCAGTGGGTGATATAGATAGCTTTGTTCACAGAAACTCAAACGATTTTGAATGTATTTAATAGCTACTATCTACAGAGAATGCTTATTACTTTATTCCAAGAATCTGATGCTTACCCTGAAATGCAGGCTTATTCATACTAGCCATGCGTGGGCAGTAATGTTGACCTGGGAAACCTTGAATGTGGACTTCCAGAGGAACTGGGCGAACTGATGGTCGGAAGTTGAACAAACCCATCTGGTAAACATGAAAAAGAAACCAGTTACAATTTTTATACTGAAGGATGCATCACAACTTTATAAAGTTAAGCATAAAAAAATTGTTGCTGAATAACTAATCTGTCACTCTTCCTCATACCTGCTTAATGTTGAGCCAGTCAGCAAGGTCTCTGGCATTAGCTAATGCAGTGGACAGTCCAACTATTCTAACAGGCTTCTCTGTGTGTGATGAAATAAAGTTTGTTCGAGATACAATGACCTCTAGAACTGGACCTCTCTCCTCCCCTAAGAATAAAGAATAATGAACATTAATCATTTAATAAATCCATGCTAGCTGTTGCAGGCACAAAGTCAGAATACAAAGATTTCTTTAAAAAGCAGGGGGAGAAAACTACTGTATGAATAAGTAATCTCACTTTTGTGTAGATATTCAGAGGAATTGAAATCAGTATGTCAAAGAGTTATATATACTTTGGTGTCCATTATATTATTATCCACAATAGCCAAATCATGACTAATTGTTCACTTACAGATGAGTAAAGTAAATGCACAATGAAATATTATAAAACAATAACAAAGAATGAAATCCTGTCATTTACATCATAGATGAATCAGAAGACGTTATGCCAAGAGAAATGAGGCATGGACTGAGAGACAAAATTGCATGATCTATGTGGAATAAAAAAATAAAACTCAAGGAAATAAAGAGAAAAAATAGAGTTTGCCAGGGGATGGGAGTGGTTTGGTAGAGGATGGGAAACCTGAGATGTTGGAAAGGTACTTAGAAGGAATAAGTCCAAGAGACCTAATGAGCTACTGGTGACAAGTATCTTAACATCATTTAATCATTACACATTGCATATAAAAAAAACATCACATTATATGTCAAGAATATATACAATTATTTACAAATATTTGTCAATGAAATTATAATAACAGAAGAGAATGTCAAGTTTCATAACATTCTATTTTTACTTGAGTGGTACCTACCAAGCAGATGGATCTCATCTATGATGAGAATAGTAACTTGTTGAACGTAGTTCCTATTCTGCCAGCTTCGACTGACTCCATCCCACTTTTCTGGTGTTGTGACAATAAGGTCAGCCTGAGCAATGGATTTCATGTCTGGGGTCACATCCCCTGTCAGTTCAATAACTCTGGAGAGAAATAAAATTGATCCTCAGTAAACATGTAACTTTGGACAGACTAAAAACTCTCTCTTTTGAAATAAAATTTTAAAAGAGTTAAAACTACTCTATCCCCATGCACTTGAAATTTTCTGAAGTGTCACAATTACATTAATGCAGAAAACCACACAATAAAAGATATGGAAGCACATATAAACTCAGATCAATTACATGCAACTTATATAAAGTGCCAAACTTTGTTTAATTATACATAAAGCAATTTACTTATGTTATTTTATAAAACTGAATTGTTATCTCCTTGTCTGCATAGTGAAACAGACAGACAGACCTCTTACTCAATTCATTCCTCCCTCCCTTTTTCTTTTTTTGCTTTTTGAGATAGGATCTCACACACCCGTGCAAAAGTTGAACTCAGTATGCAGCCAAGGATGAACTTGCAATACTAGCTCTCCTGCCTAAGATTTCAGTCATGTGCAACTGCACGTGACACTTTTTTTTTTTTTTTAAATCTATTTGCTTAGGGAAAGTGTTATTTTGTTAGGGCAGTTGTTAAAAACAATTATTTGCAAGCTTAAATTAATTTCTTAGGATGGAATTTTCTATAGGTAACAGAAAACCTGAAACACACTGGGATATAAACAAGATCAGAGGGGTAACTAAATGCCACCTTTCTCAGGGGGTCTCAGCTTCACACTGAAAAAGGAAGTTACCCTTGAAAGCATAGAAGAGGTATATAACACACAGGCAAATCGAGGGGTAAATTCCCCATTTTTAGTAATTACTAAACAAAACTTGTACATCTAGATTCAGACTGAGAAAAGAGAACAAAGGGGAAAGGCTTGCTCCCAAAGCACCTATTTATTTCTTTAATGTTTTGAGATTTACATTTTACATATTATATGGAATATGGAATACATCTGGGGCTAAAGAAATTTATAGTTAACAGTCTGTAACAGTCCAGTCCTCCAGCCCATAGAAGAGGTAGGACAGCTTGCTTCTCTCTTTCTTTTTTAATCCTAATCCCTGTAGAGTTTCATTCAGTACATAGTGATTATTCTTTTGTTGAGATACACAAAATTTGCATTTTGCGTGTGTACCATTATTTACTTGGAAGTGCATTATGGGACGATCAAGTTGTCTGCAGTCTTGCTGATAAACAGTACTGTAATAAACAGTACTGTAATAAACAGTCTTATCAAATACTAAAATATTAACAAAAAATAATTTTTTTTCAAAAATCTACTTTTTTTCATTGAGTAAGTTACATGAGGAATGCTTTTAAAGTAGTTTCTAGAAATTATTCTCAATTATATGAAAGAAAATTGATATATTTTTGGAATAAAGATATTTTGGAAAAGGTATGTCAAATGACAGTATTCATATTCGGTAACTAAATGATTACATTTTCACACTTAAAATAATTAGAATATTGATATAATTCTAGTAATGGTAAACTTCTTACTTTTTACCAAGCTTCTCTTCTATTCTAATTCTCCAGTCATGCATCCTTTCACGCACTAGAGCCTTCAGGGGTGCGATATACACTGCCTAAAAGGGAACGGAGACAAAAGGACTCATGAAAATAACAGCATCTGTAAATAAGAAATACAAAATTTGTCAAAATAGAACAATGTGAATTTAAAGATCCCTTTAACAATGAACATTACAGTGTTAAAATCAATGAAGGGAATACAATTAACTTTACATTTATACAAAATAAGACAACTAGATATCATAAACATCCTATTAAAAAACAAAAGGACACATTTTTTAGAGTATTTAAAAAATCAGATATTTTATGATGACACTATAGTTTAACATAATGCAAGCCAACAATTATGAAATAACACATTATTTAAGAATAGAATTCTAATGACAAAAAAGTTTTCCTGTATTTTGTATAGAATTTATATGAGCTCATAGAATATTTGAGGACAGTCATTAATTTTGAAGTTTAAAAGAGAAACTGGTTGTTTAAGTTTAGTGCAAACTGATGCTAGTTATAAATTTTAGCTGTTTTACTTTTTGAAAAATACCACAAACTTCTCTTTGATAATCTAAAAAAACGAAGTATGATATGTCCAAAATCTTCGTTTTCAACATCTTGCAATTTAGTTGAGCTGTTCTAGTGTGCAATGTGTTCTTTATGGGTGAATAACCACCTAACATTGAAAAGCGGGAGAGTAAAGATAAGCAATAAAAAGGCACTTAATTGGAAAACCCTCCAAAAAGGAAGTTCAATACTTCTGAATCACAATCTAAAAGTATCTCTACTTTCAATATGAGGTACTCACATGATTTATAGAAAACCCTAGCTAGGTGGTGGTGGCACACGCCTTTAATCCCAGCACTTGGGAGGCAGAGACAGGCAGATCTCTGAGAGTTTGAGGCCATTCTGGTTTACAGAGTGAGTTCCAGGACAGACTCCAAAGCTACAGAGAAACCCTGTCTTGAAAAACAAAACAAAACAAGAAAACCCTAAAGATATATATAGATATAGATATAGATATAGATACACACACACACACACACACACACACACACACACACATCTATCGCCAAAAAAACAGAATTGACGGACAAGATCAGTGTCAAGGAATTTCCACCCCCTGCCCCTTTTCTTCTGTATTTTTCTAGTTTCACATAGCTGCCTTCATGGAAGTGGAGAAGAATGAAGGTTATAAGGGATAGGAGTAAGGGAATGGGGAGATACTGTTCAAAGGTTATATATTTCACTTATGTAGAATAAATAAATTCTGAAGACCTTATGATAGTCTGGGAAGTAGAGTTAAAATTGCTGTGCTAAATACTCAAAATTTCATAAGACTAGAACAATGTAGAATAACTCTTCTTATTCCGTTTATATAGTCAAATTAATAAAGTAGTAGCACTTCCTTCATAGCCAGAGGATTTGATTGTAGGTTGCTGTGTATCTTATGAACATGGCTATAAACCAGGTATCTTATTACAGGCCCACCAATGAATTGTAGATATAACAAGGGAAAGATTCAACTAGAGGGCTCTAAATTTGAGGTAAATTACTATTTTTTTTTTTTTTTTGTCAAGGAAATTATTTTAATACTGATGTATTCCCTTTGGAAAAATTTCTGCCAGTAAACAATCTCTCTGGGTCCTGACAGTATATTTAGAACTTTCTATAGCGGAGACTAAGAACTGTCTTTTTAGATTGACTATAAACACACGAATCTTTAAACTGACCTTTGAAGTGGGATACTTGTTGAAGACTCTGAAAATGGCTAATTCAGCTGCAACCGTCTTTCCTGAACCAGTGGGGGCTCCAAGCAGGACATTACAGTCTGTGTGATAGAGTGTGTGGAATATTTGTGTCTGTACTGGGTTGAAGTGGCTGAAGTTATATAGAGCTTCATATGCTTTGCACCCCAAAGCTGTGACTGGTAAAGGCTGAAGGTCCAACAATTCTGAAAAACATGATAGGTACTGCCATAAAATCACCAAAATAAATAAATAAATAAATAAATAAATAAATAAATAAATAAATAAATAGCAATTAAAAAAAAACTATGCACAGCACTGGACATTGTATTTCAAATATTTAAAATAATCCTTAAATCTTACACACCAGTAACATCTGTTTACCCACTCACCACATCATAGTAACATGCTGAATGCTATTCTGGAAGGTTCCTATGATAAACCAACTGGGTCTTTCTCTACCAAGTGGCATAAAAACTTAGATATCCAAGTTCGTGAGAGCATTCAAGTTACAGAACAAAACTAGATCTACCTTAATGCATAAACAAAGCAAAATACCACCTACAAACTTCAGTACTGTAACATTTACCAACAAATGAATTTTGATCTGTTATACACTGGTCAGGCAGAGCAGCCAAGTAAAGAACTGCCACAGCTAATGGGAACTTAAGAAAATTGTACTACAGAGAATAATTGGAAAGAGCAAAACCCATCGCAAGAAACATTCAAAGAAAGTAGATTGGTCCTTTTCATCATGTAGACTAGAGACCTAAGGAACTGGAAATTAAAATAATTTAGAGAAAGTTTCACCTATTAATACATACCCCTATGTACCAAGACTTCATATTTTCCCATTTCTAGAAATCTACCAGTTAAAACACTGTGGTATTACCGCCAAGATTGTTATAATGACGAAGTTTAAATTAGGTTCAATTTAAAAGTTCAGCAAGAAGACAATACTCTGAATTAGATCTTGACTGTATGGTTTCAAAATGTAGCATATGGTTGATTTTCTTATTAAAAGGTCTACTTAAAAGTAAAAGAGCTAATCCTTTCCTACTGCTTGGTTCTACTGCATGGTTAGCCATGTGTTTTCTGTCATTCAATTTTCTGTAAAACTCTAAATCAAGAAGGGAGAGTGGAAGGAAATCAAAGTTTGCAATGTCAAATAGGGCACAGATATGTTTTTAGGAAGAGTAGAAAATCAATCATGTTGCATGATAAGTGGGCAATTATTATAAATGTTCAATGCAAATACTTCAGTGACTTTGTTTGAGTGACTTAAATTCAATGATGTGTTTACATGGACATTGAGCCAAATATACCCTGGGATCACTGAATTATCCTGTACATTTTGAAAATCAATTGAGATAATCATGATGGCAAATTTTCAGTTTTGAAAATGCAGTTAGGGGTGGGGTAAAAAAAAAAAGAAAATGTAGTCAGAATAAGGTATTACGCTGATATCTGCTTGGTTGCTTAACTGTGAAATAACTGAGCATTAGAATATAATGATAATATACTATAAAATTAAGCACATTAGTTAAAGAAATCTACTGATATCAAAATATGTATTTTAAATAAAACACCAAACATTTTATATATCTTATTATAAATTCTGGATTGTACATACAATGAAAGTGAAACAAACAGAAATGTCAGAAAGTTCACCTGTAAGCAGATTATGATAGTGATACTATCATATCTCTATCTTTTTGTTTTGATAAATCATTCTCTTTTGTCAAAAAAAATCAAAGAGGAACTGAGCTGCATTATAAAGACTCTCCTGAGGTAAACAAACGTAATAAATAAGGTATAAATTTGACCAAAATGGTAAAGATTAGTCATATTAAAGCTTTTTTTCACTTTCTACAGGATTGTGTAGTGAGTTAATTAAAAATTCATAAGTAGCATTTAATTGTGAAAGTTTTCCTCTTGAATAATGCCTTATGTTGGTTGATAAAAACTGGAAATGTGTATGACTGACTATTTATGATGATAATTTCAAGTACCCTATGAAATCTATTTCAAAAATTTCCTGAGGCTTTTAAATTAATCAATGCATTATTTAATTTCACCTTATGAAAATCTAAAACGGAATTTTACAAACGCAACAATGAGAAACCATTCAGTATGTGTTACCACTAGTTGCCATAAAGCTAAAATATGGGAGGGAGTTGATATGAAGGTTTTATGCTATTTGCAGTACACAGTCACTGTGGGTATTTGTAAATCCTCTTCTGAATAAAAAACAAAAAACCATGAAGCCTTAGTATCAAAACATTTTAGATATTGAAGAACATCAATGGGAGAAAGAAAAGTTCAGAATTGAATAATGATAATTTAGCATACCTATTGGCACGCCTGATCTGAGAATCCAAAATCTAAAACCTTTCAAATCGTATCTCAGATATTTCAAAGAACACGTAATAAACACAGCTGAATGAGAAAGCAAGCACACATGAAGAAATTATAATAACTACATAAATGGAGATGAAGCAGCAGAGAAGGAGTGCCATCCTTTCAAAGTCCATCAAAACTGGCCTATTTCAATGCTATTTAAACTAAAAAATCATGGCACTAAATTAAACTCTATTCAACGTACATAACAGTAGTTTGGTGGAAAGTAATGATTCAAATTAGTAAGCCACTTTACCTGTATGGGGAGGATGTCTCTCTGGTAGAATCAGATGTTGAAAGTTGATAATGCAAACAGCCTCAGCCCCTAGCCATCTATCAGACACTGCTCGAATGTAGTACTGAGAGGGCAAAGGCTCAAAAATAGGGATTGTGAATATCAGAAGTTGAGGTTCTTTATTAATAACCTGGTGTGAAATAAAATCTCAAGTAAATATGAGTCTTCTACTGCTGTAAAGGTCACAGTAGTCTACTGTTAAGAAAGCAGTACCTACACAAGATACACTGATAATAAAGCACACTGGGTTATTAGAAGATGAGATTCTTAGGTATTTCAGCAACTCTTGTGTGATTCCCTTTAAAAGAACCCAACGTACTTTTAGGTAAGGTTTATACTCATTTTGTGCTATTTAACATGCATTTACAGGTATTGCTTTGATTTGTTTACTTAACTCCATTTTTAAAATTTTAATTGCTATACTAATATTTACATTATTCCTATAAATACCATAAGAGAAATACCACAATTACTTATAATAAACATTGATATAAAGACAAATTCAACAAAACAAATTTGATGCCCTCACAAGATTTTTTTCAGCTTGAAGCTTCCCTTTTCTCTTTGATAAAAAGTGAAACTACAAGCAAGGCAATAAAGACATGGCAAGAAGCTAAGATTTTAAAAATTATTTCATTTACTTTTTGAGATTACAATGAAAATATATAATTATGATTATAATATGATTAACCCCTCCTTTCTCCCTCCAAACCTTCCCATATACTCCTTGCATTCTTTCAAATTCATGGCCTCTTTTTCCATCAGTTGCTCTTACATGCATGTGTAAATATTCCTAAATATACAATTTACAACCTGATCAATCTGTATAATGCTAATTATAGGTATTTTTCAGGGCTAAACTAAGTCTTTTATTGGCAACTTATAAAGAATTTTCACTAGGTGATTCAATGTTCTCACTATATTGTATGCATATAATACCTAATGATTACTTATTTCATCTACATTACATATTCTTCAACCCTGGGAGCCACGACTTAACACATGAACAAAATTGTAATTAAAATTCTCAAACAATCATCATACTGATTTATCAATACCATACATTTAATCACTGTCTTCCTTTAAAAGAGGCAGAAATAATAATAAATTAAGTTTTAATGGAATATCATTTAGAAAGAAAATAAACAGCAGAAATTGTTTATATTTTCTCTTCATGGCAGCAAAATAAGGGAAGAGCCATATAAATATGTATTTACCTGTTTTTTAAGAGCTAAAAAGTACTCTGAGTGATAAATATGGTCATTTGTAGGATCTTCCACCCAAATCCACCATGGTTCCCCTACTGTTCCATGGACCTAGAAAAGTAGTATTACAGTTCTTCTAAGTATCACAATTCAAGACAAGCTGTTTATATACTCTACATCTATTGCTCTCTTCAGCAACTTCACTATTATAGTGTCTATTAGTTTACTTATTTAAAATATGAAAGGCAACTTAACATATTTACAAAGCTGCACAACTACAGCCACAATGTAATTTTAGAACATTTCATCACCTCCAGAAAAAAAAGGTAAAACTAGCTAAAATTATTCACTATAGATTCTCTATTCTGCATATTTAATATAAATGGAATTGTACTCTGTGGACTTTTATGACTGGCTTTTTAATCTAACTCAGTATGTATCAGTACTTCACTCATTATTATCAGTTAATGTTTCACTAGATTAATAAACCATATTTTGTTTATCCATTTCAGGCTCGCTCCTTCTCCCTTACAAGGCACAATCTTGCTCCGTGTTCATTTCTTACCTAAGTGGCCACATCCCCTGGGGCAATTCTGGTTTTCAAAAAATAAGGAGTTCATGGAATTCTCCTGACAGAAGGTAAAGGAGCAGTCCACAACAAATTTGGGCTAAATCTGTGTTCTAGGCTGAGGGTGAAGGGATGTGTTTCCTTGCTCAGTTTAACAGTTCAATTTGAAAAGGGAAGTATGAAATATTTGGTAAGTACTCAACAATGTCAGCAAAGCAGAGGTGAAAAATTCCTGGACACAGTTGGTATGATTAACTAGCAGCCTTAAACATTCTGAGGCACCTACTCTACCTGTGGACCTTTTGTCGCACAGGAAATCAAACTATCTTCCTTCCTTCAAGTAGAAGCAAGTTTCGTTTTCCAATTTTAAAGACCATAACATTCTACCTGAGAGTGTTAACTCTAGAGGATTACCATGGATGTTAGAGAAAATAACTGAACCAGTAAAAGTTTTATCCATTTCACACAGGCATAAAATTTCAAACATTATTTTTAATGGCTAACTATACCTTTATATTTTGTATAAAATTCTATCTTTAGAGGAATATTAAAGTAAATTTATATTACCATCACTTGTTCCTCAGATCAATTCTGAGAATATTCTGAGAATATTATTATAATAATATAATTATTATTAATGCATATTTGGAGATTAGGAAACTCTAGGACTCAGAAGTCTGAGCACCTTAGAGCAATTGCACATGGGATTAGCAGCATGGCTAGGTGATTCTACAACACATGGCTGAATAAAAGTCATTCACTCATATTTAACTCGGTTCTTACAGGAACTATGTGGGGTAACCACAGGTACACAGGTATACTAATTACTGAGTGACTTATCTTCCCCCAGGGGCCTCTTCCCAGCAGAGAGATTCTGACTTGCTTTTATAGTTATAATTTCTAACACATTAATTAGTTCAAGGAATGCTGGTAACTGAATAGCAAGATGATTCAGAGTAGATCGTTAATATTAGTTCTCTCCTATTTTGCCTTGAAAGAATCTTTAGCAGCCCAGGCTGGTCTGAACCTCACTATGCTGAGCTCCCTCCAGGAGCTGGACTGCAGGATGTGCCAGCACACCTGTTTCATGTGGTGGTAGGGATGCCGCTCAGGACCACAAATACCACCAACAGTGCTGCGGCCCCAACCTTACTGTTAGGATTTAAAATATATGGTTTTAAAGCAGGAAGTAATGAATGAAAATAAAAACAGAAGTAAGCAGGACAGGAAAGACATTTTGAACAAGAGTTATGTGTAAAAATACTACATATTCAGAGATATAAAGAAAAAAACCCTATTAATTATGGCTAATGCTAGACTTTGAATGTCACTGCACTGAGGAAGAAATCTATCAAAGAAAGTGGTGACAAGGAAGAAAATATAGAGTATTTTTCCTAGTATCCTAATTTTTAAGAAAACAAGGGAATGGTAACTTTACAGACACTAAGACTTAAAAATGTATCTGTTAGCAAATAGAATATCAAATTAGTGGCTAGCTAAAGTGACAAAGTAGAAATGGTAAAGATGATAACATGGATAACATGGAAGAACACAGCCAGTGTGGCTCAGCTTAGGGAGCTGAATCTACTGACATACAGTTTAATGTTGAAACTGTAAATTCATTAGATGCGGGAAGATTCATTGGTTGATGACAGATCAATATACTATATTTTCTTACAAATGAGAATAACTACTACTATCATGCTGTCAATGAAGACACTCTCTCTCTCTCTCTCTCTCTCTCTCTCTCTCTCTCTCTCTCTCTATATATATATATATATATATATATATATATATATATATATATATATATATATATATATATCTTTGGGATAGATATAAGGAGGTTTGGTGGAACCTGTAGTACAGACGCTTTAGCATAACATGGATTTAGGTGTTTCCAGTTCTACCTGATCATTCCAAGAGAAATCCGGGTGGACACTCAGTGACACTCGGAGGACAGTCCGTGTGATGGGCTGAATGGAAGCTTCCATTGTAACAGAAGGGATCTGATGAACACATTGTTTAACCTTCAGTCCAATATTCACGTGATGCAAAATGTGACCTGAAAGTATCACATAGAAAAAAAAATATGCCCCATATAATCTGACTTGTAAATGAGATTTCAGAGATGGTGATTTTATTGCTTGTTTTATGATTTGCTATGTAAAATAGCTGACATTCTTGACCTGGCATGTTTGAATATTTTGTAATAGTTAACTTGAATTAGCAATTCATAGCTTAGAAAACTAGTATCAGGGTTTGTTTAGGTTATTAATCGGGTTCTGAAAATTGCTGAGCTTTGATACTATTTAAACAACTATAAAGAGACCCATTTCTTTCTAACTTAGTTCATGATATAGTATTGAAGTTATGAAGCATTTTGTGAAAATAGTCATTAATTTATTCATGGCCTGTGTTAGAACTTTATACACTTATAGAAATATTTCAGTAAAATGAGACACCATTCATATGACATTCTAGAAAACATAAAGATAAAATATAAGTTCTAATCTATCAGAATACATTAACTACTTATGCTTATTTTCATAAATAATCAGATTCTACAATACAGACACATATACAAGTCAGATGTTACAAAATAAATATAACTAACTACACATGTGACTGACAAGTTTAAGTAAGCAGAACTAGATTACATTTTCTATCATCAAGATTTCTTTTATCTTAGAATTTTTATTTTTAGAATTTTTTGAAGGGCACACATTAATAAATCAATATACTTTAACCTTGACCAAATTTGAAATTAAAGTTGATAGTTTTTATTTAAAAAAATATACATTTACTATATATTCTCAAGTTCCCTTTTTAACAATCACAATTTCTTTCTATTGATGTTCTCCTTTTATCATTCTATAAAAAAAAAATCCTTCAACTGTAAGTATAATTATTAATATTCTTAGTCTCTCAATAATACTGGAAGCCCAACAGTAGCACCCCTTGTGATCTGCAGCCTGCCTCCCTGCAGAAGCAGTATCCATCCTACTCAGAAGCAAAGTATTTCCTAGTTATAATACAAGTTTTACAATACGGTGTTAAATTTTACAGAAATATGTGGCAAGGACTTCTCATTATTATGTGGAAAAAAGAACACAAATTCTATGTACAGACTGATATCAACTGGGTTTAAATACATAGATATGTGTAATTAAGAAGGCTAACAAACTGAGGTGAACTGCAAAGCTTAATGTCCACAAAATTCTTATTTTACCTTGGTAGTGCAGGGGGATTCCTGCCAGGCTAGTGCTTCATTATTCAGCTATATCCCCAGCTACCACTCGATTTTAAAATGTAAAATTGCTGACACACATGACAAAAGTTACTCAAATTAATTAAATATTGAATTTAATTGTTAATGAACATCTAATGAGTCTCATCATTTATGGATAAGATTCTATGTATAAAAGTTTGATAATATAACTATTTTAATTGCTAGTTCAGTGAAATAATTTGATAAAATTTGAAGATTCTTTTTATTTAGCTTAGATGAGCAAAAATAGTCAGATAATAGTCATAAATACTGTAAAAATTATCTTAATTTGGAAATACAGCAAATTTATATATCAATCAAGGTATTTTATGTACATAGGTAAACACATGTAAAGATTTCTGCTTCTTTCTTACCTATTTCATCCTTTCTCATGTCTTTGAGTTTATCCACAGTGAGGTTTTTTTCTTCTAATCTTGTTAGAATGTGTGGTGGTAACACAGAAAATTGTCTCAAAGGGCTAGCCCAACCCCAGAGTCTCTTGTCGATGACTTTACTAAGATTCAGAAGCCTGTAGGTCATGGTAGGCCAACGTTTCCTCAGTGCAATTTCAAAGAGAGCACGAACAATTCTAGCTGCATTCTGAAGAACAAAAGGGGAAGATTGGTAGTTAGATAACAATGTGCTTTTAAATGTCAGTAAATTTATTATTCCAACTAGACTCAGAAGAAGGGCAAATCAAGCTACATACTTGAATTATGAGCAACAACTTTCCTTACATAATCTTAATTATCTTCCACTAGAATAAGAGTAGTCACATTACTACTGTGTCCATGTTATTTATTAAACTCTCTACATTCCTAGGAAGCTCTTTCCTTATACCTTCTGAGCAGGAATGAAATAGGTAGACAAAAGGCAAACAAGGTAGCTGACAGGCTGCTCAAGTACCTACAATATAAGAAACAGATTGAGATATCCCTAAATATATTATGCAATGATTAAGTTTTTGACCAATTTAAATAAGAATTCAGGAAGATTTACATTTCAGCCAGGAGAGAAATTAATAAGGGAAGGGTGACAAAGGAAATACTGGTGAGTGCAGTGACCAATATTAAATGGTCATTCCAATGGTCTTCTATAAAGCAAACGATGTAACTAGCTTTACAAATAGAGCACTCATTTAATTTCACAGCAACTCCATGTTATTGATAGCAATATTTTGGTTTTACTGTTGGACAAACTAAGCCTTGGAAAAATGAACAATTGACTAATATCAAAGAGCTATTTGATGTCAGCATCTATTTAGTACCAGGGATAAAGAACTCTAATCTAACGCTAAGACTGCAAGCTCAGTGGTCTCTGGTAACTTTATTTATAGACATATAGAACCTTTTAAAACTATCACAACATCTTGATTCCACTTGTTTTTTCACCTTCCTTTATCATTAACTTTAGAAACTGCTTTATTAAAGGTCATTTAGTTTTTAAAATGGTAATTTTTATTAAATTTGTTCTTTGAAAAATCTAGAAATGTACACTATATATCCTCACCTTTCTGTCCCTCCTATGCTCCTCTACCCTGTAAATACTCTGTCTTCTCTACAAGACCCTTTAACACATTCAGGTCATTTTGTTTTGTTCTGTGATCCACTATGTTTAAGTGGGAATGTGAATATGCACATGGCCTTGGAACTGTCCACTGGAGCTTGGTGTGCTCCAATGTGGGTACACTTAAGACATTGACTGTCCCTTTCCCAGATTCTACTAGCAGCCAATAGCTCATGAGGGAAGTGCAGGGTTGGATAAGAACTTCCCTAATTTATAATTGACAGATGGTAGGCCCAGGGCTTATACAACCCAATGAAAGCAACTGCAGTTACTGTGAGATCAGACTACAATGGCTTTGTCATACCAGAAGACAGTGTTTCATGGCCCTTCTCTCTATCTTCAGGATCTTACAGTCTTTCTGACCCCTCTTCTACAAAGTTCTCTGAGACTTAGATGGAACAGTATAAATGACTTGTTTAGGGCTGAGTAATCAATTATCACTCATTCTTAGCACCCTGAACAGTCAACTCTCTGCATTCCCCATTGCTCTTTGCAAAGAGGAACTTCTCTGATGAAGACTAACAGTAGAATCCTACTCATAATGGCTGCCATCAAGAAATGAAATGATGCTGGGCTGAGGTGGCACATAACTTTACTTGGGAGGCAGAGGAGTTTGAAGCCAGCCTGGTCTACAGAGAGAGTTCCAGGACAGCCAGGGACACAGAGAAAAATCCTGTCTTGAGAAACCAAAAAGAAAGAAAGGAAAAAAAAAAAAGAAATGAAATGGAAACAAATAGTGGTGGTGAGGATGTGGAGAAAAGAGAACCTTATTTTTATTTAGCTTAGATGAGCTAACTGGTTAAACCTCTAAAGAAATCAGCATGAGTTTCCTCACAAAGCTAGAAACCGAAGCAGCTACATCACTACTTGGCATATGGCCAAAGAAATCTACATCCCACTACAGAGATCTTTGCTCATCCATGTTCACTACTCCTCTATTCACAAATGCTAGACATGGAATCAGTCTACATATCAATCAACTGGTAATTGGATAATGAAAACTATATAAGCACAATGAAATTTTATCAGCTGCAAAGAAAAATGAAATTATAAATTTGTAGGTAAATAGATGGAACTAGAAGACTAGTTTTTACAGTCCTGAACTTGAGATATTTTGTATTACCTATAGACTTCTATATTTGAAAAATCAAGATTGACAAATCTAGACAACATCATAGTAAGAACTGAAACTGAAAATTCCAAATGGCAAACAAATGACTCAGTGCAAATTTATGAGGTGAAAAATGACCCAAAGAGTTAAGGGGTCTCTAATTTTAGAGAAAATGTGCATATCTTCTAAGAAACTCTGTTTTTTTTCAGTATTAAATTCTTAAATAATGTTTAGATAATTGAGGACTGTGCTAATCCTCATTAGAAATGACAGAAATGTATCTTATTAAGCTGCAGAGAACAAGAAAATGATATTTTGATAGTTTTAATTACCAAAACATATTTTCCTACATCATTCCCGTTTGTTCTTGTAAAAAGCAAAAGGTGCCAGGCGGTGATGGTGCATGCCTTTAATCCCAGCACTTGGGAGGCAGAGGCAGGCGGATCTCTGAGTTCAAGGCCAGCCTGGGCTATACAGTGAGTTCCAGGAAAGGCACAAAGCTACACAGAGAAACCCTGTCTCAAAAAACAAAACAAAACAAAAAAATAAATAAATAAACAAACAAACAAATAAATAAAAAGCAAACGGTAAACCTGGCTCAAAATATTTTAATCTGAAGTGATATAAAATAAGTGATGATAATAATGCAAAATGAGTGATCTGTACATTTTAAATGAATAAACACAGGCTCAATATTTTTTTAAACACATTACATTTATTTGTGTGCACACTCGGACATGTGTTGTACAGTGTGTGTCTGTAGGTCACAGGAGAGCTGACAACATGTGGGTTCCAGGGATTGAACACAGGTGCTCAGCCTTGGTTCTTGACATCTCTTTACAGCCACAGAAACTTGACTCTTATAAAAATCGGGGGGGGGGGGGGGGGGGGGGTGAGAGAATTTGAAAACTTTTGCATTTTCTTTCCTTTTATATAATCTGTGACATTACCATCTGGTTTCTTAGTTATAATGATTAAATTAGTATATTCACTCAAACTGTTTATCAATATATCTGAGTTCATGTTTTTAAATATCTTCTATTTTCAGCTATTTGAAAGCCTTCTTGAGTACTCATGACTATTAATATTCATGTAACACATACATGTTCTTTTTCTATGTTAATGTGAACGAAATTAAGAACATAAAGCCAGGAGTGCTAGTGCTCATCTTTAATCCCAGTGCTGAGGAGGGGGATGGCAGAGTCATAGACAGTGGATCTGTGTGAATACATTGTAATTTTCAGGCCATCTACGGCTGCAGAGTGAGATCATGTCTCAATATGTGTATATGAGAGAGAGAGAATAAAAATCTCACACATTCTAAACCAGATTTAGTTTCAATTTTGTATCACTTTAAGGGAGACATTACTAAAATATATTATAAATGCATACTTAAAAGGAAAGGAACATACTTTGTTTTATAACCTATGTCTATCTGAAAGGCAAAAAGCAAATGCACAAAATAAGGTATTTTGCTTTACTTCATTTTCTACCAGAATTTAAAAAGTTATAAAGTAAATGAGTTGTAGTTTAGGGAATAGTTGTCTTTTAGCTCTCAACTTTTAAGTATCACTAGTAGAGAAGATTACCAGTTTTTTTGTGTGTGTGTTTGTTTCTCACTATATAGTCCCTGCTGACCTTGAACTCACAGAGCTCCACCTAAGTTGCATGCTACCAAGCAGTCAAGATTATGTATTTTAAAAGAGATATCTACAAAAATGTACACAGGGAATGAGATACATTTATTTATATTTAACAGTAAATTTGTTATAGCCAAATGGGATTCCAGTCCTGATCTATGAGAACAGATTAGATACGAGATGTACAAATGATTGGAAACAGGTTTAAGATTAAAATGGCAGTTGACAGCATTCTCAGTATATCATGGACTAATCTCCAAAGATCAGCAAAAATGGTAAAAGATTAAAGACTGTCTTACCTGGGCAACATATGCAGAATCTGATATAAGGGAGAAACTGTCCATCTCTCCTCGGCTAATGTAGGTCTGAAGCAAGATGTTTATTTTCCCGTAACTATTTTCCACACCTCCAGGAGCTGAGAGTTCACAGAAATTGTTTAACAAGGCATCTAGCTCCTCTACTTCCTCTTCTCTGACCTGGAAGAGGTAAGCTTTTTATATTAATACTTTGATTGAATTAAGGAAAATTTTCTTGTTCAAATTAACCTGTATGTTTGTACAAGCTTCTACTTTATATGACAACACTTTATTTCTGTAGTACTGAAATCATTTTCCCACAGGTAGTTGTAAAATACAATATGAAACTATCTGGAAGCTGAAACAATTACATTTTATTATTCATAACTAATAATAAAGTTTCCATTGACACATAAAAATTTGCTATGCCTTAAAAATTAAATCATCTGACCTTACTATCCTTCAATTGATGAGATTTCATTTTTTTTATTTGCTCAGAGTTAAACCTCTGTCCAACTGGATTAGGGCAAACTTGATTATCTTCAAATGCATTCATTATAGTCACATATTTTTATAAGGCATAACACATTCATACCTTAAAGTTGTGAAGTACTATTTCATATTTCAGAGTATTTAAGTTTTTACTGTTAGTGAAATTAAGTTACAATATAGATAGTACAGAAATAGTCAAATCTAAATCTAAATCATGCAGGTATTTTCTTTTCTTCAATGAACTTTATCTTTTAGTAGTCCAAAGGCTATTCACTTACATTATTCAATAATTTCTCTTTCCCACCTCCCTCTACACCTTTCTGTGGGTCTCACTGTGTAAGTAACTCTGATGGCCTAGAACTTGCTATGTAGAACAGGCTCACAGAGCTCCGTTGTCTCCCAAATGCTAGGACTAAAGGGTGTACCACTACCCCAGCTTTATTTGATAGTTTCAATACTATAATATCTACAAAATTACTGATTTGGAGCAAAAGCAAAAAATGATATAAACTATAATTTTAGGATATTGGACACTGTTAATGTATTGATATTCTAAATGTAATATGCTGTTTAAGTCATATATATGAGAAATTATAATTAATTATAAGTTTTGATAAATTGATATACTTATGTCATATACATTTAATTCAAACCTCAAGTAATCTTACCTTAATTTGATCAAATTCTTCAGCTTTGGAGACAATAGCAAAGATATCACCTTCTGTTTTGTGTGCATCAAAGAGTTCATTAAATGTCTGTCAAAATAAATATATTTGATTAAAATAGAAGTCCAATGAAGTGTTGTAAGTTACACATCTTACTATAAATTACACACACTTAAGAGAAATGGAGCCCGAGCCCATATAGCTATCTGTTGTATTCCAAATGCTCACTTTATAGACATCATCAAAGTAGGATGATCTGTAAGAGCAAGATGATAAATAAAGGCTATTATTAACCAAAATCTACACTATATGCCTAAAAAACATTCATCACATCATTTTGGCTTGGGTATACAGAAATCTTACCTGGATCATTCACTGATACTAAATTAATCATGTATCATGTAAAATTCAGAGAAATTAATGTGGAACAGTAATCTGGTGACTCTCATAATATTGATTTTATCAATGAAACTGGGATGAAAAAAAGATGTTAAAGGTTATGCACAATGAAGATGGAGGATGAGAATTCTGGAAGAACTGCAAAGGGGTGTAAGACTTGACTTGGACTGGGCTGATCCCAGGGAATCCTGTTGAGGAGTAGGAGGAAGGATTGTAAAAGCCAGAAATGTCAGGGTTACCACAAGGGGACCCACAAAAGCAACTGGCCTGCTCATGAGAGTTCACAGACTATGAGAGATAGGGAGCCTGCATGGGGCAGACCTAGGACCTCTGCATATGTGTGATGGTTGTGTGACTTGGTCTACTTGTGGGACTCCTAGAAGTGGGTGTGTGGTCTATCCCTAACAGTTTTGGGTCACTTTTGGGAACCTGTTCCTAATACTGGGTTGCCTTGTCCAGCCTTAATACAAGGAGAGGAGAGCTCAGTTCTACCTCAACTTGATAGACCATGCTTTGTTAGCACACATGGGAGGCCTGCCCCTTTCTGAACAGAGTTGGAAGAGGGGTGGATTAGGGGATGGCAGAGGGGAGGGATGAGGAAAGGGAAGCTGTGGTTGTGGTGTAAAATAAATGAAAAAATTTAAGTAATAAAAAAATAAATTAAGACTTGGCAGTATGCTGATGAGTGGACATGCAAGAAAAGTTGTACAATAGAGAAAACGAGCAGATAGGTAGTCGGTGGTGGAAGGAGTGAAAAGCTGGGTATTGGGATGAAGAATCCCCAGATCACAGTTGTAAGATAATATTTGTCAAAGGTTTTAAAGACATCAGACTATTATGCAAACATAAGGTTTATTTCATAAAATATAGTAAGCACATTAACAATATTTTCTATGACCTGTTCTATTTATAAGCAAACAATAAACAGGTATAAAAACTAAATTTAATATAAATTAATGTGTCTGCATTTGAAGAAATCTAATTGGGATGATTTCTTTTTACATTAAAAAAACTATAAAAGTGTGAAAACTAAAAATGAATATAAAATTCAAAACCATTAAAGAAAACAAATTCTTCTCACATGAGTGATCACTGTTACTTCCTAACATGCACTGACACACACATACACAGGAGAATACAGATAAACTAAAAAAACAGGACTGTTAAAGTGGCACCTCATCTGACACAGGATCAACTCAAAAGGCAATGAGTAAGCCAGCCATGTTGGCACATGCCAACTTGGGAGGTGGAGGTGGACTTGAACTTAGAAACTGAGATCAGACTGGCCACCAAAATGAGACTCCCACATCCATAACCATTCTTAAAAATCAAGCAAATGGAACAACAAAAGAAAAAAACTGTAAGAGAAGACAAGAATTTGCAATTGTATATTTAAAATATTAACCTTCAAAAATCCCCAAGCTGTTTACAGTCAGCTTGGCCTGGTGAATTATTACTTTAACTCTATCCATTGGCTCTTAATGAGATGCAAATAATTTTTTTTTTACTCTTTATTAAAAAAGTCATTAAACTAACATTTCCCACTTAATTTATTCTGGCATTCATTCTCTAGGAATCAGCAATTTGCTCTACATGATTTAGAAATTCATTGATTGGTTTAGCAAAGGGCCGAGACACTTAAAATCTTATTTGTATCTTGTCAATACTAAGGGTATTATTGAGTTATTATAAATATATTTTGTTGTATTAGCTGCTTTTGTTATTTTGAATTATCAGTATACACCAAAGACTCAAAATTATTTGAATATAAAATGAAGACACTGCTGTGTTTGTTCCATTCAGTATAATACCTCAATGGTGTTGTATTTAATATAGTAGTGGCTGGCAGTTCTACCCAAATCAGTAGAGGAAAAATAACCAGTTCGCTCTTCAAAACGAATCATCTTAGCTTTATCCAGCTTTTGTCCAACTTCAATGACTAGCTGTTCTCGATGCATTCTTAATGTTGGGTCAATCTATAGGAAAGAAATAGAACCAGTATACACAGAAGTATCAAACTGTTTAGAAAGTCAGCAAATATGCCTAGTTATGAAAGTTAACATGTTTTTTTCTTGAGGGTTTAAAATCCAATTAAGTTCATTTTTTTTTAAAAAAAAGCACATAAAAATTATACATGTTAAAGGTCTAGCATTATCATTTTTATTAATACACACATTTGGCAATGGTTAAACATAACTATCTCTTTAAATAGTTATCATTTCTTTATTACAAAAACATTCTTCTAGCTGTTATCTGTCACCACCTATGGTATACTAGCATGTGAGAATTACCTGCTTTAAACTAACTGTAACTCAGTACACACTGACGAAACTTTCCACATTCTGCTCTTGTCAGCCTCTGGTAATCATCATGGCATTCTCAATTCCTATGTTCAAAAAATTTTTAGTTTTCACATGTGAATAACATCAAGTGGTACTTGTCTTTCTATGTCTGGATCATTTAATCTGGCCCCTGATTTTTCATTCCATCTGTTGTCACAAATGACAGGATTACATTTTTTGTTTTTACTGCTAAATACTATTCACTGTATGTAAGGAACACATTTCCTTGTCCAACCATCAACTAAAGGACACATGGGTTGTGATCACTTCTTGGGTACTGTAAAATTATTTGCTGCCATGAACACAGGAGTGTGTATGTCCTTTCAACATACTGATTTCATTTCTTTTACATATGTATGTATATATGTAGATTTAATATTTAAAGAAAAAATTAGAAAAATTTTATGTACTACATAAAGTTTAAAAATCACTGATGTTATCAATCTGCACATTCTCTTCAATATTCTACAATCTAAGTTACATCTGTAATATCCATGATAATAAATACTTGAGATTAGATATGAAAATTATTTCTTTCTAATGCTAAAATGAATAGGGATTTAAAATTAGAGCCCTGTTACTATTTCCTGAGTATTAGTATTATTATTTCATGGAGATATGGTAGTGAGAGTGCTTTCCCCAGTCAGGATCCATAAAAATAACTGCACATTATTCTTTCAAAAGTAGTTCAATTGTTCTTGAACAAATGGCCACGCATTTTCACAATTGTTGATGGGAAAACCATTTTGCTTAGAGTAACAGCAACAGAAACAAAAAATAAAAGGAAATTGGCCATTTTTATACAGTATGGAATCTATTACAATATATTATTTGTTGTTGTTGTTGCTTTTGATTTTTTTAAATATATGACTGCATAGATTTTTATTTCTTTGTAAGTAAATTAATGTGTATTATAGTCTCATCATATATTTATACATAGATTCATATACATCATATTCACGTATAATAAATGATATGTTTTATGTTGTTATATATTATAGATCTATTATTTATGGTTAGATCTATAGATCTCTTTATGAAACATGATATAACTTCTTGTAGTATAATATGTGTTATGAAATACATATATATATGAATATTTATATAGAGAAAGAGAGAGGGAGAGAAGAATGAATTATCTTTTAAAGGTATCTTTGAGGCCTTTTTTTTTTTTTTTTTGAGATGGTTTCACAATGTAGTCTAGGATGCCTCCCCATCATAATTCTCTTTGGCATCTTGGGAGCTGGGTTTACAGGCATGTGGTTAGTCTTTTTATAAGCAGAAATTATGAAATTTAACCCAATATCTGAAAAATTACTCTTTTTCTTTTTGGTTTTATGAGACAGTGTTTCTCTGTGTAATAGCTCTGGCTGTTCCAGAACACACTTTGTAAACCAGGTTGGCTTTGAACTCACAGGTCTGCCTGTCTCTGCTTCCCAAGTGCTGAGATTAAAGGCATGCACTGCTACCACCTGGCTGAGAAATTACTCTTATTACTATGCTGTATGTATTTATGTGCACCCACATACATACTCATACATGAACACATACAAAGTCTCTAAGATTGATCTTTAGTTATGAGTAATGGGGGAATATAAGACCTTTAATGGAATAGAGAAGTATAAAAAGCATTTTCACAATCTAAAGCGTTAATATTGCTGTCATTTATTTTAACTTATGTCTCCATTAGAGATAAAATATATTTTAAAAATCAGACTAACGAGGCAAAGGGGTATCTACTACAGGTTAGAAGCTATGTCAGCAGATGTACTATTGACTGTGATAGGCTACATTGCGTTCATCTAAAATAAACACTTATTAATAACACGTTACAAATCCATTAAATATACATTAAACTACTCAATCTTCCTAATGCTCTGACCCTTTATACAGTTCCTCATGTTATGGTGATCTCAAACCATAAAATTATTTTTGTTGTTACTTTGTAACTATAATTTTGCTACTGTTATGAACTATACTGTAAATATCTGATATGTAGGATATCTGATATGTGAGCCCCGTGAAAAGGACGTTCTACCACCAAGGGGTTGTAATCCACAGGTTGAGAACCACCGTAATACAGCTTTTCCAAACAGTACCACCAAATGAGAGAGAGTGTTCAAATACAGACAGCACTTCTCATTCAAATTACCATGAATGTATCATGTTTAGTTTTACCTTTAGAAAACTTTCATAATGCCCTCAATTATTCTCACAACACTTATATTTGTAATGTGAACAGCCAGTGTTATATCAGTCACTATGTATAATGGTAGATGTTATAGTGCATCTGTATTTAGCAATGAATCAACTTCAGCACACATTTCAATGAAGGAAAGGAAGGGTAGTGGAATCCTTTCTAGCAAAAACCCAAATATGAAAACTGAGAGACTTCAGAGGAGCAGCCTTGTTGTTATTTCTATCTTAAATTTTATGAAATCTACTGCACAGGAAGAAGAAAAACAAAAGAAAAGCTCCAAGACTGGCTTCAGTAACAAGATCAGATATGTGTTATCAGTAAATGGAGAAACATTCTGAGTTAAATTCAACTTTTTTTTGATAATTTTGACTTGACATAAGTGAATGTTCACATGATGACAGTACTAATGTTTTCAATAGACCACAACAGGATTTGATCTGTAATTAGGAAGCACTTACAGCATATAAGCAGAGTTCTAAGGAAAAAACACGATCATATGGAGTCTGTAAGCCATATGGACCACACAACCATAAAGCTCATAGGAAAGGCTGTTACCACGTGTATCCAATTCTCAGCCTGCCTATGCACTGATTCATGAAAGTGATTCTGGCCTCCAAAGAGTTACGATGACTCATCACTGCTACCACTTAAAAATTACAGAATAGGGATAAAGTGACTTGATAAGAGGAACAGATTATATATAACTATAACATATGTCATTATTAAAACATGGCCATAAATTTCTTCCTGCCCAGTTTATTTCCAAGTTAAATACATCAGTTTAAAAATAAACATAGGAAAATACCAATAGTAAATAGTAATATATCTTAAAATGACTTAATCATAACATAAATAGGAAGTTAATAGTATTAGCAGTAAAAGAAATTTAAAGAGATTAATGTAATTATCAGGGTCAACTTCATTTCCCTTGGTTTTTCTGAAAAAACAATAAAGCTCTAAATTTTTCTTCCAGGTCTATAACTGTTTTTCAGATGAGGTAAGAATAACAAATATTTATTTTCACATTATGAAAGGATCACAGAACCCTAAAGAAGCCTCGAGGCCCCCCCCCCTTTTTTCCAGTAAACGAGCCTTCTACCTGGTATGCTTTATGACTGATGCCATATGCTAATGGATTTGCTCTCATCCGCACATACAGATAAGTGTAACTTATCCACTTCACTGCTTCTTCCACAGTGGTAACTGTTCCTAGAGCAATCTGCAAATAAAAAAATAAAGCAGAAATTAAAGTAATGCATTAAAGACAAACATAAATATTATAGCAAAGACTATTTTTGCCAGATATTAAATTTTGAAAACAGGTCATTGTACTGTATTTTTTTAAAAAAGGCAAGCACAACTGGTAGGCATGATTTTTCCAATTTATTAAATATCACTACTGCATGATTTAATTGAAAACAATACATTAGAAATGATGTCTAAAAGCTGAATTTCTTCAATTTTATAGCTTTTGATTATTTTTCCAAGTGTGGACTTTAAATTATACAGTATTAAGAATTTTCATTTCGTTATTTTTCTCCTTACTCAGTTCACTACTCAACTTGTTTTAGTTTCACTTATTTTTGTCTGAAAAGTTTAATGTAAGTATACTAAAATAATGATAACAAAGTACTGCTGCTTGCATGTACTTCCCTGAGTCTGTGCAGTTATTATCAAAAACATAGAAGGGAAGTTGGCTTTATCTCTAAAGATGCCTTCAGCACTGGGATGGACACACAAATGGAAAATAGAAACATGTAACTAGTTCTACAGAAAGAAAAAATATTTACATACACTAATACTTATACTTAAAAAATGACCTGCCAAGAATGGCGGCTACAACTGCCTTGCATGCTTGGGTGAGAGTGTGACAAGATTCCTTTACCAAACAAGTGACAACACCACCAATGATGAAAAACCCACCCAACAGAGGAAGGAATGCTTTTATTTTAGGAAAAAAAATTTTATGTGTGGACTACATTCAGAAAGTAATGTGCAATGTCACATTTTAATGTATTTTTGCCATGTATTAACTTAAGGACACTGTAGCAGGCTTTCTTGGACTTCTGGCACCCAAATAATGACACGGCGACTTACTATTCATTATGAATGCTCAGCCTTTGTTTAGGCTTGTTCCGAGCTAGCTTTTTTCCTTAACTTAAATTAACCCATTTCTATTTATTTATGTGCTGCCCTGAGGCTCGTTTACCTCATCTACACACTGTCCATCCTTTTTTCCTCTGCATCTGGCTGGCTGGCTCCCCTTTTCTCTCTGCCCACCATTCCCACCTATCCCTCCTGTGCCTAGCTATTGGCCATTCAGCTTTTTAGCAGACCAATAAGGTGGCTTAGGCAGGAAAGGTGAAACAGCAACACATGTTTACATAGTTAAACAAATGCAGCACAAACAAATGTAACACTTGTTTACATAGTTAAGCCATTGTTCTGCAATACAACAAATGCAACACATCTTTACATAGTTTAATAATTATTCTGCAATGCAACGAATGCAACACATCTTTTCATAGTTAAACAATTATTCTATTCCACAACAGAAACCAACAATCAAAGATTTAAAAACACAACTGGAATGAGATCTGTGTAAAGAAAATAATTATTAGACAATGATATTAACAGAATTTTAATGAGATACTTCTGTGAAGAAGTATTTCATTATCCAACAGGCCAACGGGAAGCAATAGTGCTTTCTGGGAGAGTGTTCCAAGTGCGAAACTTGCCACCTGTAGTTTTTCTATAAATCGTTAGCTGAATTAAATAAGAAGAGATGTGTTCTTTATAAATTACTATATTTTAAGAGAAAAAAACAGGAAAAAGTGACTAAGATTCTAACATTAAAGAAACGAAAACTTCAATTTGCTTTATTTCTATATAAATTTAGGAGGCAAAATACAGAAAGTCATTTTAGCATTTGTAGTAAACAAAACTCACATTTGTTTCATTCTTACAATATTAATTTTATATAACTAATTCTGTCAGATATATTATGTGGATGAGCTGGTAATGTATCCCAGTGGTAGAGAGTATGCTTAGCATACACAAGGCCATGGGCTGCATCCGGTAACACTGTCCCACCCACACCAAAAGAATTAAATTCGAGCCAACAAGGAACTGCAAAATAATTACTGAAGAATTACAGGGAGGGAAGATAAATGCTTCTATTCTGAATAGGTAAATAAAACTTGTTTGAACTATATTTGTGTATCCAAATTTTCTACTTCTATTATTTATATTCTTACATGTTCTATATACAATCTATAATATCTAATTAATAACTGCTTTAACCATTAAATATCATATAGCCCTATAGCCCTACAAAAGTAAAGAATTAAACACACTCACTGGGAGAAGTTGTATAGACCTATAATTACAGCCCTCTGGAGGCTGAACTAGGAGGATGGCTGTAAGTCAAGTCAATCTGGGCTAAACAGTTACTATACAGCAAGACCATTCACAAAACCAAAACAAATAAAAAACCCCTATGCACAGCTTATTACATGTCAGATGCACACTGTGTGCATATTGGCATTTGGAAAATCAGTTAAGGCATGATATGTTAGCAATTAACCTTTTTCCCTCTCCAGTTCTATCATCCACAATTACTTCATCATTGTGCCAGAAACTCGCCATTATTATTATTCTCCAAGTATTACCCACCAGCTGCAGTGCTGACTTAAACTTACTTTTTTAAAACTCTTATAGCATTCACTTTCTTTTTCCTTCAATAACCTGCACTGTCTTCAAAAGGCTTTTAAAAAGTTCAGTTGTTGGCACTGTGCCTTATCCATTTTTGTCTTGAAATATTCCTTTGAAAAGTTAGTAAAAATATAAATAAATGATATGACTAAAAATCAGATACCAGATACCCTCTCTGCTATTTAAAACCACATGATGCCAGACATTTTGTTATAGGCAGTATTCTAGGTATTGTCCAGCCTGCTCCATTCCTATACTAGGCCCAAGAAACTACTTTTCTCGTTTTAGTTAAAAATGTGTGTGTGTGTGTGTGTGTGTGTGTGTGTGTGTGTGTGTGTGTGTGTAATGTCATATGAAGTATGACCTATTTTCCTTAAGATTATATATCATTATTTTAAAATAAAAGAAATGAAGGTTTTATAAAACATAAAATAAGCATGATCAATAAATTAATGTGAGTAACCTGCTGTTGCTGCCTCTGGTATGATAAAAGAGGAGCTAGGCATCACTCATTTGCTTAAGCAAATCTTCTAATCATCTACATAAAGGAAAGACATTAAACAGAAAAATACATGTTTATTTCACGATACACTGCATTTTGAGGCTAGTCTTTTATCGCCACCTCATGACAGAAACAAAAAATTTCTCGTACCTACCTATAAGCTGCCACCTGGTGACAGCTTTTTCACAGTGTATCTTTAGAATTTGTCCATTCATCTTAGAAGTCAGCAGTAAACCTGTACACTTTGTACAAGGGTATGTGCACAAAAACATGGTCCTTGGCCACGGGAAGGTCCCTCTGCATGAGGTTCGAACATAGAGCCACTGGGATGGCTATTATAAACCCAACAGCCATGCCTTATAGTGGACTCACATTCAACAATGATTTTCAAATACTGGCTGTATGAATGATGAAAATGTTACTAGTGTATAATGCAGTAACACTATAAAATCCATTAAGTAAAATATAATTCACCACATTTGGAAATTTAGATATGACTTAAGTTACACTTCATACCTAATTCATATATTAAAGTTTAATATATAAGGATATTTTGATTATTTGTAATACATGCATGTTTTGAAATTAGTCAAAAACATATAAAATCTAAATAAGCAAATTTATCCCATCATCCATTTCTTTCAAGGCTAGAGGAAAGATTTTAGGGTTGAGTATCAAAGGACTATCAAAAAAATCAATAAATCAATTGTGCTATGTGCTACACATCAAAGTAGAACAGGCATTTAATATATTTTTCACAAATCAATTAAGAGTACTATTTTATAAATAAAAAATTTAAACAAGAAACTAAAAAAAGAAAAATTGGACACTGAAGGTGATGAGGGGAGAGGAATGCCTTTCTGAGGCAAAGGACTTGTGCTGGAGAGTAATCAGGCAGACTGTAAAGCACAGTTATACTGGGAGGCCTTTATATATAAGTGGGTATCTGTACAATATTCTGTATGGATGGAATTCTTCTGAAGAATAAGTTCCAGAATATAGGAAAATTACCTTACATTTAAAGAATGGCTTACTATAACAGAGTAGAGGCATAGTGATGTCTTCTGAAAACATGTTAATAAAAGTCAAACACTTGGCTTTTGTCTAATTAGTTAAATTATATTCGTAAAGTCAAAGCCATGAGTAGAAACATTATTTTTCTCATTTAAGTTGATTTTTCTTTGCATTAACCATTATGAGTTCTGAGTCCTAACAAAGATGTGATGAACACAAATCCATGACCTTAATAATACAGCACAGATTCATGCTATAAGTTGATTCATATTTGATTTCCACTTTTACCAAATTTAATTTCACATTCAAGTTGTATTATTATCAGGAAATTTGACGAGAAAGTATTTCAGTAGACCAAGGTTAAAAAAAAAATTAGCAGTGACTATACCTTATTATAAAGGTTAAAAATTTCAAAGTATGGATGCCCTAAACATAAATAAATGGAATAATGCTCATAGTTTTGTGACATTTCTGAAAATGGCATATCGAGTAAGTAGTTAATGATGAATATATGGAGTCTTGTTTACTTTGATTCTCAGGAAATGGCTAGTTTCACTTACACTTTTCTATTGTTATAAAGAATAAGAACAGTGTTTGGCTCAGTTTATATCTTCTGTATACTTCCAACAGCACATGGGTTTACTACTTAAAAAGTGGTGTAAGACCGTAGTTATAAATTGACTAAAATTTAGTCCCCATTTACTTTAAGATGAAGCTATATAGATGTCTGTCTTCATTGGGGTTGCTACTACTGTGATAAAATACCATAACCAATAGCAATGAAGGGGGAAAAGGGTTTATTTCGTCTTAAGCTTGTAGTCCATCATCTAGGGAAGTCAGGCTAGGAACTCAGGGCAGGAATGTGGAGGCAAAAGCTGATGCAGAGGCCAAGGTGGACTGCTATTTACTGGCTTGTTCCTCATAGCTTATTTGGCCTGCTTTTTTTTATAGTGATCAAGACCATCAACCTAGGGGTGGCACCACCCACAGTGAGCTGGGCCTCCCAGAGCAGTCATCTGTCAAGAACACACACCACAGGGTTACCCACAGGCCAATTTGGTGGGGTCAGTTTCTCATTTTAGAGTCCCTCTTCCAAACTAACTCTCTAGCCTGTGTCAAGTTGACATAAAAACCAGCCAGAACAACAACCTTGTTTGCACTGTAAAAGTCAGGGAAACTATTGCTGACATTTTCAAAAATGTTTAGTCTAGATCATGGAAGAAAATAGAGTATGAGCACAAGGAGATATATTCATTTTAACTTACTACATTTTATCTAAGATGCCCAAAATCTAAGCTCTACCAAACAGACTAGATTTTGAATTTAATGGACCTGTTTGAATATTATTTTTAAAAATTAACCTAGTGATCTTGAGGTGTTACAGATATCTGAGGACATCCCTGGGCATGATGAATGAGAAAATAAGAGAATGCTCATGAGGCATCCAAGTTATTTATACCTAGTTATTTAAACTATTCAATCATAGTCAACAACAAGGACAGAAATTGAGCTATTATAAATTATATCTGGAGTCAAAATTTATCTCGTCTTTTTTAGTATCCTGTAATTTCGTTAAGAGAAACTAGTGCCTTTCACTACCTTCCCCATTTCACTTAAAAATACTTCTTAGGGTGTATCTGCATGCAAAATGTGTGCCAGGGCACACAGTGAAGATTGGAAGACAATGTGCAGTGGCTGGTTTTTTCCCCTCTACCATGTAGGTCCTGAGGAAGAAACTCAGGTTTGGGCCAAGCACCTTTACCCATGGGCCATTCCCTACCCCTCATACTTTTGTTTTTTCTAATCTCCAATTATACCTGACCAAACTTAACTATCTTTCTGATCTCTGATAGAGCTTTCACAGACAAAAAGGTTTTTTGTGGCAGCCTAGCACCCAATGTATTTTCTCCTTCTGAACCCTTCTTCAACACTTGCACCTCCTTGGATGCCACTGCACTGTGGAGTTTTGGTCCACCTTTGACCACTATTCTTAACAGAGAGTGAGTTTGCTTTTCATCCTCTAGAGAGGAAACATGAAGAACAGGAGCAGGATGTGACAAATATTTCTAAAAGCTGTTCGTAAGTATGTGGTATAAGACTAGCATACATGGTGACTGTGAGTATTTCCTTCATTTAGTTCATGCTTACATAATAGGTACTGAAATAATTAAGACAACTTCAGGCTAAGAAAGGAAACCGGCATAGGACAGCACTAATTATCACAGCAATAGTTAAAAGTGCAAGGAAAACAGTGAAAACACAGCTAATGTTTGACATACACATTCTAAATTATTAAAAATGTTTATATTCTTTGCCAGCTAAGATGTTAGATATCCAGGCTGCTGAGATCAATTAGGTTTGAGCACAGAAGTTGCCCAGACAAAAAAGCAAAGCAAATTAAGATACTCAAGCTTGAATTACAGTTTTATATAATTTATATAAAATTTAAGTAACGGCCGGGTGGTGGTGGCGCACGCCTTTAATCCCAGCACTTGGGAGGCAGAGCTAGGCGGATCTCTGTGAGTTCGAGGCCAGCCTGGGCTACCAAGTGAGTTCCAGGAAAGGCGCAAAGCTACACAGGGAAACCCTGTCTTGATAAACCAAAAAACAAACAAACAAACAAACAAATAAATAAATAAATAAGTAAAATTTAAGTAACAAAGCTATCAAATGATCTAATAACGTAGCTTTATAAATCTTATAAAATTTTATTAGAAAAGCAAAATATAAATGTACATTTCTACTATTGCTATTTGTTTCCCTAAGCTGTGTAGCTTAGCTTGGAAATTCTGATCTAGGGCAAATCTCTCAGTTAGCAACAAGTTCTTGCTAGTCATGTCTACACTTTACATTTCCATGGATAAATCAACATTTTGCTATTTAGCCTATTATTCTCTGTGTTTAGGATGTAATTGTAAGTGTTTTATGTGTGTATGGGTCTGTGCGCTGTGCGTGGTTTTATACATGTGCAAACAGATGCTAGTAAAGGCCAGAGAGGGGTCATGTTCCTTGAGGCTGGCCTTTCAAGGTAGTCAGGAGCCACCTGACAGGGACTCTGGGAACCAAACCCAGGTCTTCTCCAAGTGCAGGACGCAGCCTGAACAACAGAGCTGTCTCTCTAGCCCCTATTTTGTCTCTCGACACACACTATATTCCCGGTATTAAAAACTAAACAACCAATTCCATTTTCCCCAACCTTTTACTTCTCAGTTCTTACCTCTGCATTTAAGTTATCTGCAAGGCTTTCCAGAAACTGACTCTCAATTGGGTTTTGTTGAGTGAGTAAACTGAGGTAATGGCTGAGTTTATCATGTGTTGTTATAATGATTCCTTCCCCAAATTTGTCAAATTGTGGTCGTCCAGCTCGGCCAAATATCTGCATGACATCTAAAATTCCAAGGTCAACAAAGGAGCCTCTTTTGGCAGCATATATTTGTGTTCCCTAGATGAGGAAAAGTTAATAAAATTTACATAAGCACACACATATAATCCTGAAGAGCTGGAACCTGAAATTGGGCAAATATGGAAAGATCTCAAAAGTGTACTTTAAATAATCCCTTCATCAGCTGGGATAGAGCTAAATTCTGTAACATGATCTAGACTTTTACTGGAGAAATAATTCTGGCTAAAACAGCATTCACAGGTAATGAAACAGACAAATCACAATATTTTCTAAATAAATCAATCCAGAGGTTTGCTTTAACAGGCACATAAATCCATGTGCAAAGGGAGGTAAGCTCCTACCTTAATAATAACGGCATGCGCAGGAAGATTGACACCCCAGGCTAAGGTGGCTGTACAGACGAGGACTTTGATGTGCCCATTTGAAAACAAGTTTTCAACCAAACTCCTGTCTTGCCGAAGCATCCCTGCATGATGAATGCTAAAGCCTTCAGAGAATAATTCTCGCACTTGCTTATTTCTTGACTTTTGTACCTAAATATTAAAAACATAAAAATGATAATTACTTGGCATTTAACAGCAATTGCTATTTGTCTGTCATGTTGAATCAAAGAAAGTAAACATTGTTTTGAAGTTTCTTAACTTGGTAATGTTGCCTTACACAAAACTCATTTTGTTATGTCTTACAAGTTGTTAAAACATTACACAATATCTTAAAGGGATGACACAAACATCTGACCTGGCTGTACCTTCTTACAATCAATTAATATCTTGCACAGTTCTTTTTTATTTCTTTTTTTTTTTTTACACTTCCAAAAATACCTGACTAAAATTAAGCACATTTGTACCTCACTTCTTCAAGAGTAAATCCGGAGTTGTCGAAATCACTTGCTGACACAGCCATACAGGTCAGCATTTCTGTGTCTCTTCTGAAGAATTTCTCCTACATTTACACTTCCCATTCTAGACCTGCCATGTGGAGGATGTTACTGAGATGGTTTCTTGTTCCTCTTAGTCTTCTACATGCAGTGAATGCAGAACCCCAACAGTGTTCACCTGAAACTATGTTCATGTGGATCTTCGGTGGAAGGTATTGACCACATCTCTCCACAACCTTACAACTACTTTGAATGGACTAAATTCCCTGTTGGCATCTGTTCTTTGGCCTGGTTTGAACTTCTGGGATCTGCATAAGTTTTACAACAAATTTCTTTATAAACTCACTGAAGAGACTCACTAAAGAAAAATTTCTATACAATTGAAGATGTTAGTGAAATACTTTTAAAAGTTGTCAATAATAAAGCCTTCTTTAAGGGTATTATATCATGTATTTATTTATTACTGTTTTGGAAAAAAAATCTCATTATCAATAGTAGCTTGTTTTTGACTGTTTTTTTCACACATATGAATATGGCAGGGAATCAGAGTTCAGGAGGCTGGGGTTCTGGTCCAGACCTTGTCAAACTGTCTGCATCTTGGGTCACTTAAAAAAACTTGTTTTTTTTTAAATTTCTAAGCAATCAACTAAAGTATCACTTTATAAATTCAATTTCAATTAGGTTGAGTGTAATAAGTTAGTAAAGTGCACCATCTAGTGGCCAAAAAACTAAATGACAACCTGTACATTTTAAGAGTCCCAATCAAAATAAACAGACACCTAACAAAAGACTATCTTCTTCATGTGTCAACAAGACACATTCTTATTCATCTTTGTGTAGTAGTTAGCCTGTGGAAAACAAAGCACACTTTACGAGTAACTACATATTTATGTTTTGAATTTGCAATGTCTGCCAAAGGCCATGTTCAGAGTGCTTGGACACAATCTGTTGCCACTATGGAAGAGTCTGGAGCCTTTAAGAGGTGGAGTCTTCTGCTTGGCTGGAGCCAGTCATTGTGGCTGGACCTTTTAAGATTGGCCCCTTAGTTCAGGCTTCCGGATGAAGAATTTCTGCTATACACTCCTGTTGCCCTGAACTTGTGATGCCTTTCCTAGTGAGATGGGCTACAACTCCTTGAAACTGAGCTGAAATATATCTTTCCTTCCACAGCTTATTTCTGTCAGGTATCTGGTCACAGAGATGCCAAGTAATAAATGTGTTAGACTTGAATCACACTGCTTTCTTTTTAGAGCTGAGATAGTATTATTAAATTTCTTGAAGCATCTCTTATGAATAACAGACTAGAGTATTTGCTAAGAGATAACAAGGTTCCTTCAGAAGCCAAAATAAAAGACCTCTTGACCTGCTGTACTTCTGTAACATTCAAAGACATTTTTTTTTTGTATTCAATATTTATACTACTAAAGAGATAACATAACATTATGCATTTTGCTTTTCTGGAACAAATCTCAAGAATTAAAAAAAAACTGGATTGAAAAGTAAATATTGTTTTTAATATCATTAAAACTGCCAATTTGCTTTTTAAAATTATGTAATGAATTAATAGCTCTAACAGCAATATATGTGAGTACACTCCACCCTGTATCCTAAAATGCTGACCTCACAGCTCGTGTTAAACTCTGCCTTTCCTATGGGTAAAGTGGGTTGTTCATTGTCACTTTTAAGTTTCTCTGGCTTCTTTTTTAAAGCAATACTTTAATTGGCAAATATTCCCAGTATATAGCACAGGGTTATATAAAGTGCGGGGTTGTATAAGACCTTTCCCTGAAGTACACTTTGAGCATACTCTACCCCACAGCCCTGTGCTCACAGCCCTGTGCTCACATTTCTCCTGCAGTCATCCCATCAGAGCCCTATGGGACCCTACAGTTTCGTTCCCACTCACGCCCTATATACACTGATGACTTTCTGTCTTATATAAAACTTAAGGTACGAGACTGAGAGAAAACATGATATCTGTCTGGAACTGACTTGAGTCACCAAAAATGTGAGGATATCCAGGCACATTCATTTTCCTACATATGATGGAACTTCATTCTATTTTACGGTTTGATATACCAAACTCAAAGATGCATCCAGATGCTAACTTAAGTAAATATCACAGGCATCTCAAAGATGGCAAAGATATCCATAATTTATAAGGATTCTTACAAATTGATGATTGAGAAATAACTCGAAAAATACAAACTACAAAATAGATGCTATGTAACAGGGTATTTTATAAAGAGATAAAAATGAGTAACTTGTGTGGCTCAAAACTGAAAAGACGATGATCTGACGTTCAAAACAAATGGCATTAGGTGATTTGAGTTAGAATTTAAAACTTTAAAAGACAATGGTGAAGTCTACAGTGTGGCCATAATGACAAATATCCTCGACTAAGGCAGTACTTGTAAAATAGTATATTCACTAAGACAGTACATGTGAAAAATGCCCAAGGAAGTATATGTAAAATATGTTCACTAAGGCAATACATGTGAGAAATGTTCACTAAATGTAATGGTTTGGTCGTCAACATGACTATATCTGGAATTAATTAAAACCCAGGCTGCTGGTTACACTTATGAGGAATTTTTTTTTCCTGAATTAAATCATTTGCAGTGGGAAGACCCACTTCTAATTCATATCTTTGAGGTAGAAGACATATTTTAATCTAGATCATACCTTCAGTTGATAGTCTACAGAAAGAACATGGAAGAAGGAAGCTGGCTCTATTTTTGCTGCTTATCCTGACAAGCAAGTCCATTCCTTCATTGGCATTAAAGCCTCCTTCTTTGGGATTCCAGTGTATACTGGAGACATCTGAGACATCCAGCCTCATGGGCTGAACAACTACCGAATTCTTAGGCTTTCCGTTGGTAGACAGCCATTGTTGGATTAGCTGAAATACAGCCTGTAAACCATTCCAATAAACACCCTTTCTACAGAGATTCATTCTATCAGTTCTGTAAGTCATTCTAATAAGTCCTGTTTCTTTGTTTCTTTCTCTCTCTCTCATATATATATACATATATATATGTATATATGTATACACACACACATATATTTTCAGCCTGTCAGTTCTGCTCTTCTAGAGAACTCTAAGGCATGTAAGAGTGCACAGCATCAGGTCTGTGGCTTACAGCCATTAAGCAAACAGTCCGTTAAATGTCACAAATACATTTGGAAGTAATCAGTTTATACCAATAGAAAATTTATTTTTATAGGTTTAAGTTCAGGTCAGGACACATTGCTGTCTCTTTTATAACTACCCAGTCTCCTGTACCACAAGAAAACAGTCATAAGTAATAAAGTTATAGTACTGGCTGTGCTCTCAAAATTGAGTCAGGGATATGTTTGACCACAAGGCCAGAGTTTGCCTAATCTTGATGAAAATTGTTAGTGAATTAATATATTTAAGTAAAATCCACTAAAAAAAAAATCACAAGATACTGTTGCTATTCAAATTACATAGAACAGTGATTTTTAAACTGTAATGAGCACAAAATCATCCAGAAATCAGGGTGATATGCATATTCTAATCTGGAAGCCCAAGGCTTTTTTTTCCTAACCAGGATGCAGGTGACTGAACAATTTGAAAGTCCTTTGCACATACAAGGAGTAGTAAAATATTGTTCTCAGGATTCTTTTATATAATTAAATATCTTTTGTTTAGTTAGGCTATGTTTGGCAATATTAACTTTAGAAGCTAAAACTGAGTAAGTTAAAAAATTCTAATTTATCAGTTTTAAAAATAAAAAACCCATTAGATGTTAACTTATTTTATGAATGCAAATGCATTTTATATCCCAGCTGCATTTTAAAAGGTAGAAATAAACACTTCAGTTACATTCATGCATGGAAATGGTAAGTGGCTTTATTATTCATTCAGACCTTTTAGAAGATCAGTAAGTGAGACCCTGTCTTAAAAAGCAAAAGTCTTTAGTTGAAGGGGATGAATAAGAATAAAGAACATGTATGAAAATATTCCAGTGAAACCCTTTACTTTATATGTTAACTTATAAAATATTTAAAAAGATTAAGTCACAAAAGTTAGTAAATATGTGAAATTAACTTCTTAGAATCTACAACTGTAGATCAGCCATCAAGACTTGTGCAGCAGGCATATCATGGCATTGGTTCCTGTGTTCAGGTCACTGGTACTCACCTGTTTTAATGCATGTCCATACTCTGGTCCTTGGGTAGGCAGAAAGTAGGAAATCTGGCCACTATTTTTTGCTCTTTCTATTAGAGACATGGCTGTCCTTACAGTGGCATTGCGAGCATGTACAAACACCATAACCTAAAAATGATGAAAAACAGGTTACTTAACATTTCAATTCTTTACATTAAAACTTAATACTAGCCTAGAAATCATCATATAGAAATGATTATTAAAGTTTCAAAAACAATCTACAATTTCTGAATTAGCCAACATTTTAAAAAAATACAGGGTAAAGGCAAAGTAAAATTTAACAGCATGATTTATTCACTGTAGAACCATGAACCGATTTACATGCTAATGAGTGTATTTATGAAACTTGGAACATAGTTTGTACATTTCTCTCTTGAAAATATGATTCATGTTTTTATTCACATCATTATAAAATTGAGAAAAATCATCTGTCTATATGAAAAATTGATATGATTTGAATCATAGTTTCATCCCTCTTTATTTTTCCATTCTTTGTTTTTCATATAGGAATGTTTATGATTATATTCTGGAGCTATAACTTTTTTTTTTACTTTTACAAGTATGCATGACTGAGTTTTGCTTGGAAGTAGGAGAATTTGGACATGGACATTTGAGCAATTCTTGAATGGTCAAACATTTCAGATTATTACAGACAGAAAATATTTTGCATGGGAATGTGAATAAGGTCCTGGAGTAGGAGTGCTATAGCTTTATCTTAAACATTCCCCAAAGCCCTAAGAGTTAAAGGATCAGTCTGCAGCTTGGTACTACTACATGGCCACTGCCATTGTGACAGGTGTCAATGGATTGTCACAGACCATACCCTCACAGGGGAAACCTGACTCTTTTCTTCTTGCTTCCCAGCCAACATGAGGTGAGCACTTTGGATTTACCATCCACTCCCCACCAAGACACTCTTCTACCTTCCCACAGCATCAGAAATAACCATTCCTACCAAACATAGACCAAAGACACAGAAATAACCACACCTACCAAATATATACTAAAATCACAAACCAAAAATAAACACTTCCTCTTTTATATTTGATTACCTCGAATGCTTTTGTAATGGAAATAGAAGAATACCAGGAAACTAAGAGACTGTATGTGGTGGTGGTTAATATTGACACTGGAGAAAAATCTCCTAACAATCACTCACAAAATTGAAATGATAGAAATAATTTAATAAATAATAGTCTTTCATGGTATATAAAAAGAAAAGATCAATACACAATCTAGAGGGGGAAGAAAAATCTTTCCCAGTGAGTTCAAAGAAAAGAAAACCAGCATTGTGAGTTAACATAAACCCATCAGTTGTTGAAAATATAAAGTCCATCTTCATCTGTGTATACATACAAAAATCAATATTTTATTTAACTAGTGTAGCCTCAAGATGACTATTCTTATGATCCAGCATTGTATAATATGACCACATTTTCATTCTCCATGATTCAGATGCTCTATTATGAAAAAGTAACAGAATGCAGAACATAATGAAACACAAAATATGACTCAAATCACTACATAACTTTGGTATGACTTATCAACTTATAACTTTTTACTGCAGCCAAGAGAAGTAACAATTTCTTTTTATTAATGAACCTATGTCTTATTCAGTAAAATATACTCCTTTTTCTTATAAGCATTTTCTGTCTACAGGCTTCAACAGAAGTCATTATAAGGTTTTGGGTCTCTAGAAACCTACTTCATTTTATGGCTTGTTAATTTGGTTAATTAATTCATTATCATTATCATTATTATTTTATCTAGTGATCTTTCAACTTTTATTGGTCCCTTAGTCCCAGGGGGTACCTTCCTTTTTAGCCTCAGTACCTCAAAACTATGGTGTTACTGGTCTGGGGCACCACTTTGCCATCTACAACCTTGCAGGTGGTTATTCTCTGGATAGTTTGCATGAACTTGTTGCAGGCCAGGGCATTGAGACTCAAGTCTTTCCCATCTTCCAGCAAGTGGCATTAGGTGGCAATCTCAGCCTCAAGCTTGACTTTGATATTCAGCAAGGTTTTGAATTCCTGGGTCTGACACTGTCTTTCTGCACAGGTTTGTGCCAGCTCTGACTAAAGGTGGAAAAGGACCCCAGTGAGATGTGCCATCTGTGTGTTGTATCAGGCACGCACATCCCCAAGGCTGTTCGCCAAACTTTCCTTCTGACTTTTCATGAAGTCCAGGTTAATGTCCATGGGCTAGAAGGTGTGTCTCAGCTCTAAGAGTGTGGTCTCAGTGTCTGATTTCAGCAGACTAGATGGTAATAGCAACTGATTAGCTGGGATCAGTACTTGTCCAGTTCCTCATGGTTCTTCTGAGCCACCTCCTCATACTGGGCCTAGATGTCTGCCATGATCTTGCTGATGTCCTGAGATTTGGGGGCATCCGCTTCCATGGTCAATCCGGAAATGGCAATCTGGGCTTCCAGTCCTTTGACTTCCTCTTCATGATTCTTCTTTATGAACAGCAGTTCCTCCTTGGGGGCTTCAGTATCATTCTCCAGCTGCAGCTTTGCCATGTTGGTATCATCAACTACCTTTTGGAGTCAATGAATGTCGCTCTCTACACACTGGTGCTCGGCCAATTCTGTCTCATACTTGACTCCAAAGTCATCAGCAAAAATTGGCATAATCAAGAACATTAATTTGTTCATAATTATTTTACAGATTTAATGGAGAAACACTTTTGAAAATATTTGGCAATGTAGATTGACTTGCCAAATTTTTATTTGAGATTCATCTAAACGACATAAACAGTTGCTTTTTCAATTAACTAATGAAGAAGCGTATTATATTTGAACTATGACTCACATGTTTATGTTATATCAACTTGGGCAAGTTTACTGGCAACAGTCTTTGTAATATGGGTAAGAGCAGTTGCTTTGCAAGGCTGCTGCAGAGACACAGTAAGTATTAAGTCACAGGATCTAAGCACTAGGAAGAAGCTTGGCATTCAAAATGTAGTAGTATTACATACATACATGTGTAAGAAAATTTTTAGTATTTTACATAGGTTTTCATTAAATTCACCTCTACATGTTCCACTCATTGGTACCAATGCAGATATCGCTCTTGGAGGCAACAGGAAATGAACCTCAATTCCAGTGTTTGGACACTATCAGCTCTCCAGTGTGCATTCTAAATGTAGTTCAGAGCTGTTCTCCTAGAGATGGTTTTCACATTCGGTCCCTGGTGAGTTTAGTTCTCTAAACACAAAACTATGCATTCAAGCAAGACACTCTCTTTAAATTCACGTAAGAACTAATTGGAAAATTTGGAAGGCATGTACTAGGGACTGGAGAGATGGCTCAACAGTTGACCAAGTTTTTCTTCCCAGGGTTAGTTCCTAGCACCCACTTCAGGCAACGGCCTATAACTCTCTAGCTCCAGGGGATCTGATACCTTCCTTGGACACACGGACAGACACACACGAAGACACACACGAAGACACACACACACACACACCCCTTCAAAGTAAAAGGCACATAATGGAACCCACTTATAAGTTAAAATTTTAAGACATGAAAGATAAATACACTTTTATAAATAATTGCATTAAAAATCTTTGTCACTTAACATTATAGCAATGCTACAGATCTTTCCTGGGGCTATAGATATTTTTCAATTGTATTATATGAGCATTCTATCAGAACTCTCTCTTCTCTTTTCAAGGCAATACTGGGTTAAATAAAAAGCTGAGTTTTGCAATGGGGAAAATACTGTAAAGGAATAAAGTGAAAAGAATAAAGTTATGGTCTCAGTTACAAAGCTTCCTGAAATCTGAATTGGCTTTACTTTCCAGTCTCCAAATGCTGTCTGATAAACTCTATTATCAGATTCAATAACAAAATAGCATAATAATGTTCCATTAATAAATGTTTTGTGTTTGTTTTTTAAGCTCAGTGTTTTTTTTTTGGGGGGGGGGAATATAAAAGAAGTAGACCAAATTCTAGCTTTATAAGAAAGCTCAATTGACAGTCCACATGGTACTACCACAGGACACAAACTACTAACCCTATACCAGTTAAACAAGAGAATAGTTTTAAAACATCCTTTTAAATATTTTTATTAATTGAGAATTTCATACAATATTGTTTGATCACATACTCCTCACGACTCTCCCCAGACTCATCCCACCTCCCCATCTGTCTGACCTCATGTTCTTTCTTTAAAACCAAATTTGTGCTCTACAAATACTCTCTGGAGTAGGGCCTTCCCTGGAAGATGGTTGACAAAGTGGAGGTCACAAACTTAAAGAAGTCTATTTGTCTTCTCCCAGCAGCTATCAATTGCCAACAGGTCTCTAGCTCCAGGGGCCCATCGTGTCCACCTCCCCAGCTCCAGGCACAGGTTTACTGTCTTGAGGTTGCAAAGGTCTTGTAAATATTGTCATAAATGCTCTGCAATTGTCCTGTTGTGTCTAGAAAGTTTAAAAATAAGTTTTTCTTGTAGAATTCATTCCTCCAACAAAGTCTTTTTCTGTAGCCCAATACACAAAGACAAAATAAATCACAAAAGAAAAGCAAAACAAGAACATAACAAAGCAACTGAAATGGACTAGACAGATATAAATCTGTGTTCTTTAGCAGACCAGAAGCACCAACCTTGGTGGGGACATCTCTGAGAACCTTTGAAAATTCTAAAAGTAAGTTATAGAAGGAACTCTTCTGATGAAAAGGTACTGTTCAAAACTGTATTTCTTTTTGGACAAAATGTTAAAAATTCAACAATCTCATGCCTCTCCATGTTTTGAAGATATTTATCAAATAATCAAATAATCATTTTAAAAGTTTTACTCCTTTCTAATAACCTATTTTAAAAATATTTAGGGGACTGGAGAGATGACTCAGCAGTTAAGAGCACTGGCTGCTCTTCCAGAGAACCAAGGTACTATTTCCGGCAACCACATGGCAGGTCACAACCATCTGTATCTCCAAACATCCTCTAATGTCCTCCACAGGTACCATGCATGCATGTGCACACACACATACACACAGAGAAAACAATCATGCACATTAGATAAAAACAAATAAATCCTTAAAAAAAAAGCCTTATCTTGCAGAAAAGGTTAATTTCAACTTATATAAAAAGAAGAAGATGAGC